GGATTTAGGAAGAAGAACCATATTGGAGGGCTTAGACATTTTTCAGTACCACAGAAATGGGATGTCTTCTCCATTTCTTCCCCTTCACACATGTTCAGTCCTCGCATACTGACAGGCACATATGTGCACATATGCATCAGATTTTTATCAGCTTCAGACAACAAGTCATTAGTCTCCTTGAAACATCACCTTCCCAATGAGGCCTATCTGGATTCAAATTTCAAGTTGCAACTCTTAGGGTATCTGAGTGGCTCACAGTTAAGTGTCCAACTCTTGATTTTGGATTAGGTCATGATTTCATGGTTCGTGGATTTGAGCTCTGCATCGGGCTCTGTGCTGGCAATGCAGAGCCTGCTTGGGATTCTCTTTCTCCCTTTCTCTCTGCCCCTCCCTTGCTCATGTGCTCTTTCTCTCTCTACATAAACTTTAAAAAATAAAATAAAATAAAAATAAAAGGCTCTTCATTAAATAAAAATAAAACAAAATTGTAACTCTTCTCCTTCCTTTCCTGCTGTTCCCCATGCCCATAGTACTTAGATTTTCTGAAGTTTACTTATTTAATATGTTTGCTATTATTGTTAGTCTCTCCACCACTAGAATGCAAGCACTGCAGAGAAAAAAAGATTTTTTTTTATCTATTTTGTTCACTAAGAACAGTGGCTGATACGTAAGATTATTTGTTGAATTGTAGTACTTTCATGAAGGAAAAAACAGGAAGACAGTCTGGATATTGATAGCTACCTTGGTGTTCTAAGAAGAGAAATTAAGTCTGGTGCAACTTTGTGGTCTCAACCACATATTAAACCACAGTTTGATTCTCTTTCTCTCCTTCTCTAGCTTTTTTTAAAAAAAATTTTTCTCTAGCTTTTAAAACAGCTCCAGTCAAGCAGAATTAAGCTGCTTTGTGAAATCTTCAAAATGTCATGTTTAAAGACTGAATTTTGAAGGTAGAATACAAAGTGGGAAATGTCATAGGCTTTAAAGACAAGCCACTTCATTGTCACCTATTAGGTATAACCTTGGGCAAGTTCCTTAGCCATGAAATCTAAATTTTCCTTTATGTAAAACGGGAATAAAACATACCAGGGCATTTATTAGGTGGACTAAATACACACAAAGTTATGTGAAAATGCTTAGTACACAGTAGGTACTGGTTTATATTCGTTTCTTTCTCCTTCCTTCTCCTCATGATAAGAATAGCTTATGAGATTTTTATTTAATTTTACATTTTTTCAACTTACCCTAATTTTGGTTTCCATTTAACCTTTAGTTAAGATTATTTTAGTAATGTATGGTAATCTAAAATTTTGCCAATATGTTTGAAGAACCCATTCTCTATAGCATTCACTGGGGCATGGATTCCTGGGGATTGTTGGGAACGTCAGAGTTTCTCTCATTGCAATTTACACAAAAGATGTTTTGTGTTCATCTTATTATCAAAATTTCCACCAATGATATCCTCATTGGTTGGCATTTTTGACTCTAAGGCTAGGAAAGTCAATTTCTGCCATTTGCACAGTAGGAAAATAAGTCATATATCTGGTGAGTGGCAGAATAAAGGATACAGATCGAAACTGACCTCTTGTTCAGTGCTCTTTCTACCATATTATATTTTGATCTAAATGAAACGCATAGTTTGGTGGGTTTGTCATTAACATGGTAATGTTGTAACAAACTTTTATCACATGTATCTTACTTTTTAAATAGGTAATAGTGCACAGGATACTAAAGGCTGTACATGAAAGCAAGTCTCCTTTCGCTGTGCACCAGCCACAACAGGCTGCCACTGCTCCATGCATATATTCCACATGCTCTTCTGTTATTTTACCCAGATGTGAACTTTTAGGTACTTTGCTTTTTTCACGTAGAAATGTGAAAGTAATATATTGTAAATGATACATATTTGTTTCTCAGAGCTCCATGACCCCCTCTGGTTACTGCCAGGCGACATCATGAACAAGTGCTTGTTTGGCATTATTTCAGGCAATATTCTAGGCTCTGGGAGGAGAGAAGTAAAGAAGAGGAAAGAAAATCAGAACCACTTGTCTTCACAGAGCTTACCTTCTCACTTCGCGGTTGGTGATATGATAGGGGTACAAATAATGGTTTCTGTGATAGATCAGAAGAGGGAGAAATGAATTTGTTCAAACATAATCAGAGGCAACTTAAAAAAAAAAAGTGGAAATTTATCTGGATTTTAATCAACAGGAAGAACCGGGAAGAAAGAGCACTTCAATACAAATGTATTAGAATTACAGCTTTTTGTGTTTCTCTCGTGTAATTTCTCGTCTTATGTGTCTATTGTTTTACATGGTAACACTTGAACTTCTACATTCAAGGTGTCCATTGGCTTCACATATTTGAGAATTGAGTCTTTTTGGAAATGGCTTCTTTATTTGCAAAACAAAATTACTTATTTGTCTTAGACATCAATTTCTGCTGATCTTCTAATTCTTTTTTCCCCCAATTTGTTAACTTGAACTAGAGATGAGTATTTTAATGGATGATTTTTTTAAACTTATTTGGCCCTTTAAAATACAGATTCCAAAGTTTGCTTCTTTGTTTTACTTTTTTCTTGTCTGTGTATGTTATAAGTTACTATTATTGGCTTCAGTGTCCTTATGTACTCGCAGCAGAGGCTGTCAATTTTGGCTGCATGATACAATTATATGGAGAGCTAAAAAAAAATGCCGATCCCTGGGCCCCACCTGAATGTGGGGTGTGGCCTGACGCCCAGACTTTCAAAAGTTTCTCAGGTGATTCTATTTTGCAGCCAAGCTTAAGAAACGCTTGGCTTAAAGTATTTCAGAGGTAACTGAAACATGCTGTGTGCTTCTGGAAAGTAGGTAACCATGGCTCACTTAAGTGGTGTGATCAATCTGGTGTCTCACTTCTCACACTAAGAACAAAGTGAAATGATTAGAATTGAGATGGTAGAATGAAGTTCTTGAGTTTGTTAAAGCACTCTTATTGTTATTCACCAAAACATAAATGCAATTAAGTAAAGCATAATAATGGATAGACTGAACTTAAGGCCTTTAAACTCCTGTGTGGTGGGTGAAGAGATAACAGTTCTTGTTTTGAGCTCTACATTAATCAAAGGTGTTTGGCTCATTACTTAAGTCAGAAATTAACAAATCTGTTTTTAGAGCTGATAACAATTACTAACTTATTGTCAGCATAGTTCGGCAGACATTGTCTCAAACTCTTGTTGACGTTGTCACCTACTTTCAATGTAATACCTACTCTGTTACCATAAGAGAATCTTTGTTTACTCCAGTAACAAGATGTTGGACAAGGACTTGTAAACCCAAATAGTTACCTCCCTGAGGTATCGGAGAGTTTCCAGAACGAAATCACACTGAACTTTAGACCACTCCTTTCTTTTATTCTGAAAAGTAATCTAGTCTATTTCCAGCTTCGAATTGGGAGCTGAGGTCAAGCTAGGGATGTTTACTTTGACTTCACTGTTTGGTTTTGGAGTATTGTGATTCTCCCACAACACACCCATATCTGGCAGTTTGCACTGCAACTGGGTTGCCAAGTTTTGTTTTTATATCTATATAACATATTAGCACGGTGTCTTAAAATAGTGGGGCTCTGTGAATAGAATGAATAATCAGACAGAATTGGGTTCAAAGCCTAGGTTTCTATTTATAAATGCTGTTACCTTGATTTATTTAACTTATTTAGCCTTGATGTCCATATCTGGAAAATTGCATAAATGATCTCTAAATTCTATGTGTGTTAATTAGGTAAGATATTTTAGATTCTTAACAGTGCCTGTCTATAATAATAGTTTCCTAGTTTTCATATTGAATTATTCTATATAATTATTCTAGTAAAAATGATACCCAAAAACTAAATTCTAAATTTTCTTTAATAATAAATCCTATTATTAATAATGACTGTTGGGGGTGATGTACATAAGAGTCACATTTTATATATCTGAATTTCTAATAAATCTGATAACCTGATAAAGGTATTGGTACCATACCTTTGTTTATCATAATAGGCTTTATAGTTTTTCATTGTGTTTAGACATTTTACAAGAACTTGAAGATTCTTACAACCTTAAGGGGGAAATTAGAAAGTTGATAGTATAGGCTGGGCAATATAGTATAGTCGGGGCATAAATACCTAGGTTCATACATACACAGTGAAAATATAAGTGAAATGTAATATGCTGAGGTGTAGCCAAATCAAATGGGCTCATTGAAAAATGTTTATTGCATTCCTCTGTGTGCTCAGATAAGATCAGCATAATGATGACTCCTCTCATTCTCTGCCTTTCAAAATTGTGTTCATTTTTTAAGGCACAATTCAAATGTGGTCTACTTTATGAAGTCATCAAATCCCTCCCTGCCAACAAGCGACCCCCTGCCTCCCACCCCCGCCACCCCTTCACGAGGAATCACTTTTCTGTGTTTCGTTATTTGGGGTCTTTGTCTTGGCACTCACTTCACTGTGTCATATTAAAATTGATGCTGCACCAAACTTCCAGGTGTTGGGTTGAAGGTTGTGTGGGGCCCTAGTTAAGGGCGCTGACTCTGACACCAGAGAGATGTTAACTTTAATCTCTACTTTGTCACTTTGGTGTAAAGATTTGCCCTTTCTGAGATCAATTTACTTAACTGTAAGCCAAGGATAAAAGCTTCCACCTCATGGTTCTGTTGAAAGATTAAGTGGCTTAAGTGGCCTATGATACTAAGTGTTCAAGAGATGGTAGCAAGTTATTGTAATTATTTGTGTATGGCATGCTATTTATTGTGTGTAAATATGACATGTGACTTAATAAAACCTACTCCTCTAGACTGTACTTTTTAGGACAGGGAACAATCACTTGGCATTTTGCATAAGGTTTTATAAATTAACAAACATTTGTTGATTGAATACAGTAGCTTTCACCTTCAACTAACTTTTAAACACAATAGAAAAAGACAATAGAAAAATTTCATAAGAGTTGCTTTTTAAATGACACTGTTTTAAAATTCCAACAGGTACCTTCTTATCCCATAACTTCGGTGTCCTGAAATCTGAGAATTCCACCAAGATAATATGATAGGAACTTTCCGTGATTTGGAGCTGTATCCTACTTAGCTAATGCAGGCCTTCCAGATTTCCTGAGAGCTTGGTACAACAGCACATACTGTCACAGCCACGGGCAATAATGCCATCTCTGCCACAAGAAAGAGGTAAGCAGATTGGATTAATCACATTACAAAATGTGGATATATTATAGATCATCACTGATTTTTTTTTAAGAATTAAAAATTAATTGAGGACTCAAGTAGAATTTATAATGTTACCTTTCTTGGTGGGGGGACATTTATATTCTCTGCTATGGGATTGTTGTTATTTCAGTGATATTTGGCTGGTTTACATTTCTTTTAAAGTTATTCAGGGACCCTCTCCCCTGGATCTGAATACAGAATTGCCTTATCAAACCACAATGAAAAGGAAAGTCAGAAAGAAGAAAAAGAAGGGAATCATTACAGCAAATGTTGCTGGGACAAAGTTTGAAATTGGTAGGTCTCCTCAGAATCATAATTGTTGGAAAATTGATTTGATATTGAAAACAATGTAGAAATTTTGGGAGATAATTATCTTTTGTGTAATTGAGTTTTTAAGTTTTTTAAGTTTATTTATTTATTTTGAGAGAGAGAGGGCAAGCATGAATTGGGGGAAGGGCAGAGAGAGAGGGTGAGAGAAAATCCCAAGAAAGCTCTGAACTTGCAGTGCAGAGCTCAAACCCACCAACTGTGATATCATGATGTGAGCCGAAATCAAGAGTCTGATGCTTACCCAACTGAGCCACCCAGATGCCCCTGTAATTGATTTTTAAATGTCTTCTATAAAATTTTCTGTTTTATGAGACATTTAACATGTTAATAATCAGAAACAGCATCAATGTAAACATTGCTAAATGCTTTAGCTATTAATGGGATAGTAGTAGATATATGTGATTGTGATTAATAGTTTTTACATCAGGTATCAAATAAACATGAACATGAAACATTAAAATGTTAGGTATAAAATAAAAAAGTACAAAATTTGAGATTTTTATTAAATAATAAGAATCTGACTTAAAGAATAACATATTTCTCTCTGTGTTTTAAAAAAATTCTTTTGATAATGCTGTTGCTTTTTATTAATGAAATTTCAGTTCTTATGTGTAAGCAGTATCTATAGTATAGAGAATAGATAAGAAGAATAATCATTTTAAATTAAGATACATTTGCCCAGCATTGCAAACAAAACTCTTAACAAATACCATAAGTACTCAAATAATCTTCCTCTTAACCACTGTGCCTTAAAAGTTTAGGAAAATCATATGAACCTCAAGGATGTTAATTATTCTTACCCTTATTAATCTTTGGGAATGTCATTCATTTGCAGTAATTCACCAACGTTCTTGAGCAATCAGTGGAATAGTTTATTTGTTTTTTTAATTTAATTTAATTTAATTTTTATTTTTTAATGTTTTATTTATTTCTGAGAGAGAGAGAGACAGAAAGACAGAGAGAGAGAGAGAGAGACAATGTAAGCAGAGGAGGGTCAGAGAGAGAGAGATACAGAATCTGAAGCAGGCTCCAGGCTCTGAGCTAGCTGTCAGCACACAGCCCAATGCGGGGTTCAAACCCACGATCCGTGAGATCATGACCTGAGCCGAAGTTGGATGCTTAACCAACTGAGCCACCCAGGTGCCCCCGGAATACTTCATTTGAATTGAGGTCCCCAGTACTCTGTTCCAACAAGTGGTCCTCAGAGGAAGACGCTTGAAGCCAGTTAGCATGTGAGGGTGAGATATGAAAGATTTAGAGTTTATTTGCAGCATGTTTTCTAGACACAAGAGTAAGATGACTGTTGTTAAAGTGATTGATGGGTGGTGTTAACCCTCTTACTTTTAAGGTTCTGGTGGGATTCATAAGGAACTTGATCTATACCAGAGTGTTTCAGTGCACTTCCCTCTCACTTTCCCAGGACTGAAGTTGCCTTAGCATTCTTTATTCTGATTCCTTCCTCCTTGCTGAGCCTGCTCATTTGTGTTTAACAAAATTTCTGGCAAGGGCCTTGGATCAGGGACTGTTGAGAGAATATAGAGCTAAGTATAGGGGAGGGAAAGAGAGAATGGGCCATGTGTCTAGGAGAAAGTGTTACCTTGCCTTTCCCTTATTTAAGCTAGTGAATGCAACAGCTTACTTATAATTTAATTACTACTTCCTTGACAGCTTGACTTTTATAATGGAAATAAAAGTCATAGTCAGCACACCTGTGTTTTTGCCCTGGTATTGCCTATTTCCTCAGGTAGAAAAGTTTGCTATAGTTTTAACAGTAACTTTTTATAACCAGTGTCTACATGTTTATATGTTTATAACCAGACATTTCCACGTCTGTTACCTCACTTAATCTTCCAAATAACCCTGCATATAGGTTGCATTACTCACTTGCTTTCCCCTGTCTTTCCTCACTCTAATGGTGAATTTGAAGTGGCTATAGCCATAAGAAAATAAGCATGAAAAAATAAAAACAGTAAAGTAGGATGAATCTTGTGGCTGATAAAAATACAAAATACATTCCCTAAGATCCTCTATAGTTAGAGATGCACATGGATTTGATTTGGAGCCTCACAGCAACCAAAGCAAATATTAAAACATAATCCATTTTAGAATGCACAGTGTTCAGGAGATAAAATCATACTGGTTATTCAAAGGATATAGGACTTCTGTATTCCTGACTCTTGAGAGAAATGTTTGTTATAGTTCCTTATGAAGACATATTGTGGAATAGTGAAGTGCATTCCCCCAGTTCTATAATTAATACATTATGACATGCACATGATTTTTTTCTATGTCCTTAATAGCAGAGTTGAAGAAACAAGCCCAGTGAGAGTCAGCAACTTACCCATGTTCATACAGATGGCAAAAGTGGAGCTTGAACCTGAATCCATTTGATTACAGATTCAGTTTTCTTTTTACTATATCATGCTACCTAAATAAAATATGGTTGAAATTTAAAGCGAGAAACACAAATGTATCTTCTGTACCTAAAATTTAGAGAACTGCATGGATTCCTATTTTTAAAACTTCTGCTTAGCCTCTATGGGTCAAGGCAAAATATCATAGGACAAATTGTGAGGAAAGTATTTTTGGTAATTTTTATTAAATGAAGACAAAAAAGATCGGGAAAGGGAGTATGTAATATGCAAAGGGAAACGTGAGAAAATGGTTCATATGGTTATATCTGTTATTACAGTAGGGTGTTTGGCTTGGTAGAAGTTCAGTATGAAGGCACTTATTTCAGCCCCTTTTTAAAAGAGAGCTCCTAACACGTCAGCCTTTATAGGCATGGAGTTAAGCTTTAGCTGTCAACAACTTTTCTATTTTGAATCGACACATTGAACGGGTTTCTTTTCCATGTAGTGGAGGATGACATCCTTAAAAGATTCCAATTGGTTTCTAAAATTTCAATCCAAACAAAAATTTGATTGAATAAATTAAACTTTAATTGAATAAATTAAACTTACTGGAGAAAAGTGACATTTTAATGCCTGAAATTGTATTTTTCTTTGAAGTTCAACTTTGTCGGCTCTCCAAGCTTTGAATTTCATAATAGAAGAGATTTGTATGTGATTGACCTTACAGATTTGATTTTGTGAATTTAAGAAAAGAATGGGTCTTTTCCACTATGGTTATGTAACCTGAGTGTCCTCAGCCTCACTGATTCGCGTGTACATTTATAACCACATCTGAGTAGTTCATGCCTCCTCCCTCTGTAATTGCCACCAGCTCCAATTCTCTCTTCAACGTCTTCTCAGTTATTTCGGAGCCCCAGACAGTGTCTCTCCTATACTCAGGAGCAGCTCTGCGCTTGGGCTGCTGCTCTGGCCTCATTATTTTTTCAGCTTATGTGTCTGTTGAAGGGGTCTCCCAGGCTGTGTGGTATTGCCCTAGCCCTTCCTGGGAGCCCTGTGTGGCACAGCAGGTCCTGAGGCCTCAGGTCTCCAAAGCTGCATGGTGGTCAGGGGCAGACCAGAGAAGAACAGCCCTTTTCCCAACTCTTGCTTCATACATTTTTACCTGGGCCTTCAGAACAGCCTCAAATGTTCCCAAGCCTCTCATGGAAAACTGCAGCTCCAGCTCCACATTCCTCCCCCTGCCCCAACTTCACCCACCACCAATCACTGCTCTCTCCTTTTATGTCTGTGTTCTCAGAACCAGTGCATAAAAAACCCCTTTTTTCTCCTCAGCCAAATAGCAATCAGAATCTCTAGGACTTGAGACCAACAGATGTCTGTTCATCAGTTTTATGCTTGAGCCAGGTAGATTCAGACAACTGACCCCCATTTACCATTTCTTCTCATACTAAGGGTCCTAGTATGTTTAAAAACATTTAAAAGTAAAACGCTGAAGTGCTACTGTATAGTTACACTATTCTATTAAGATTCAGAATTCCTTTGGAACCCAAAATCTATCCCAAATATTTTGCTTATCTTTATTCTTATTTTGAAATTAAAAAAAATATTTATTTATTTTTGAGACAGAGACAGAGCATGAGTGGGGGAGGGACAGAGAGAGGGAGACACAGAATTCAAAGCAGCTTCCAGGCTCTGAGCTGTCAGCACAGAGCCCGACACAGGGCTCGAATCCAGGAACCGCGGGATCATGACCTGAGCCGAAGTGAGACTCCCAACCTACTGAGTCACCCAGGCACCCGTGCTTGTTTTTACTCTAAACTTGAAATTTGTTGGAGGAAAAATGTTAGTATGTTAATTGTGATATTCAAATCAGAGAGGAGCATGTAAATAGTTTGTACTAAAAAACAAGCTTTCCTCTGAGCATAAATAGGATTAAAGGGTTAGGAGCAGATAGTTTGTAGATCTCCGCAGTGAATTCTGCTTCATTATTTCATAACCTGGGTCGATGCAGCTGACTTGGTTTTAAGTGCTGAAAATAATTTGAACTGGGGAGGTGCAAAGTATAGGATAGGTCTAATGATCAGGGATGATTATTACCTTTTCCCTTTTGTACCTAGCCTAAGGTCACAAAAAAGCCCTGAAGTACATTTTCCTTGGTAGAGGTGTTGTCTCAGATGTGTGCATGTTTTCACTGTGCCATGAATATTCCGTGAACTCTTTAGCAGTGCCGTGTACCTGCTAAATCTCAGAGGGCTGAAACCAGAGATTTTGAGGTGCAACCTAAAAACAGTTCTCAGTTACTGTGAGTATAATTTGGCCCCAGATAAATTGTTGTAACTAAAAATAAGATTATGCTACAACTAACGGATTGTTGCAAATGAAATACTGTGAGGTAAAATTTGCATATATCAGAAAATGTTTCTACAACGAATGTATTGCAAAAGTATTTTAATTTTCATTTAACTTGACCATTTACTTGCAGTTCGTTTAGTAATAGATGAAATGGGATTTATGAAAACTCCAGATGAGGATGAAACAAGCAACCTTATATGGTGTGATTCTGCAGTTCAGCAGGAGAAGATTGCCGAGCTGCAAAATTACCAGGTGGGGAATTCATCATGACCGATTATTAGTTCTTAAGAAAGTCATATGAATTCTATAATAATTTTATTCAGATAGGGCTGGTTCTTTATGTGTTGGCATATTAAATTTCAGTTCTAACTTACCCACACAGCCTGTTTGGTTGCTGTCCAGTTGTACTGACTCTCTATATAAGGCCTGAATTCTTTCAAATTTAACTTTTAATGTACCATGAGATCATGACCTGAGCCAAAACCAAGAGTTGGACACTTAACCGACTGAGCCACCCAGGTGCCCCATAACCTCTTTCCATCTTTAAGGAAGAATGAATTGGAGAAAAGTCTTCCTACACTGCTGCTTTGCCTTATGCTTAAAGATGAGCGATGTGGAGTAGATTGTACAGAGAAATCAGGATGTGGAAATACTTCACAATGTCTCCTATGTGCAATCTGGCTTCATTCTTTTATTTTTAGAATGTAATGCACATATATTAAAAAAATAGACATCCAACTAAAAAGCCAAATACACAGAATTTTAGACAATTGACATTTTGTATAGTTCTTTGTTAGTACGGAGGGAAATACAAAATTGACCTTAGGGAACGAACAAGGCCATTTTCACCAAAATTTATACAATGCTTATCTGTATGAACCTAGAAAATTGAGAATAGTTGAAATAATTTGGACATAGAGTTACTAGTTATTTGACACAGAAAATTGTAACTTCGATATCTGTGTAAACACCCTTTTCTGATTTCTAAATATTTTGCCATTTTATTCTTTGCTTATTGTAGATTTTTTTAATTCTACATATTCATTGTGGGTCATTAAATTTTAAATATTTTACACTAATAGCCAGTTTTTAAAAAACATTTAACTCAGAAGATGTATGTAACTCTATTATAGTATAAATTAATATATTAATTTTTATTGATTTATACATTAATATATTTATTAAGTCAATGAGAATATTAATATTTACCGTTCTATTTTCCAGAGGATCAACCATTTTCCAGGAATGGGGGAGATCTGTAGAAAGGATTTCTTAGCAAGAAATATGACCAAGTAATCTTCATTTTCTTATAATAGAGAATTTCTTATAATGTTTGAAATTTACATTTTCAATATTATAGTGTATCTTTCACCAGGTTATATTGATTTGAAATGATATTTTCATGGAAGAGATAAAATTGTAGAGTTATCAGGGTCTTAGAAGTTCCTTGGTTCTTCCTTCACTTTACAGAGGAGGTAACTGAGTGTCTGAAGAATGAATATCTTACACAAGTCAAACAAATAGTTAACAGCAGACCTGGAGCAAAATCCTGGTCTCCAGAATCTTAGGCTTCTTTTTACTGTAGTTTGGCAGCATAATACACTGTGTGTGTATGTGTGTGTCTGTGTGTGTGTGTTTGTGTGTGTGTGAGATATCCTGATTGTTGAGCATCTAACATGTGCAAGACACTGTAGTAGGTGAACTTGTGCATACATGTACATATAGACACATGTGTATGTGCCTACCTAGGGATATACACATACATATATTTATCTGAGATCAGTATTTGGAGTGGCAGTCAGCTTTTATAGGAAATACTGTTCACAGGTTCTCAAGTGCTATACCAAATGAACTGCAGAATTTTTACGTAATTTGTATTTCTATTGATTAGATTTTTTTTTTAGTTTAAGAATGTTGAGTTATAATTTGAGAAAATTTTTAGAAAGAAAAGTCAAACAGAGAAATGTTGGTAAACTTGGTGTGTAATTAGATATTTATATGTATCATGTGAACGTTTATGCATCCACTTCCCCCAACAAATACTTTTTGCATATCTGCTGTAGACTACAGACTGGTAACTTTAAGGAAGACAAATAAAGCCTAGTCTCTCTGCCTAGAGCTCAAGTTTTAATTAGGGAGAAAGAGTGATACATATAATACAGCTTGATGGTGCCACATTAGGGGCAAAGTCAATGTATGGTGGTGACAAAGATGATGACAGAGGTCATTTCTAGGAGAGCAGGGAAGGCTTTCTGGAGAAATGAAAATCAAAATGGATATAGGAGTTTATTCTTTGAAATGAAGGCAGGGAGACTGTAAGCAAACTCAACAATGGGAGAAACTTTATGGGGACCTAAACCAACATGATATGTTTAGGGAACTTTTAAGCAGTTTTCGTGGCTTTATAGGGAGTCAGGAGGCTCAGCCTGAGATGATGCTGGAATTAAATGCAAAGGTCAGGCTGCAGACACCATGTTACTATATTTTATTCAATAATTTAATCATTGATTCTTTAATGTCTTTACTCAACAAACATTTCTGTTTATCCTGAGAGAAGTGAGGAGTTTTTCAGTGGGTTTAAGCAGAGAAATGATATGTTTTAGATAATCTTGGTGGGACTGTAGATAATGGACTAAAAGAGTGTAGAAAGGAGGGACAAAGCCCTGGAGTAGGTGATTGTCAACACCTAATAAACCAAAGGAGAGATAGCGGTAATGGGGAAGAGAAAATACTTTCGGAAAATACAAAAGAGATAGAACTGACAGGACCGGAAAGCTGAGAATCCAAGCGGAGGAGAAAAGTGTTCAAGACAACTGGTAGGTTTCTGGTTTAGGAGATCATGAAGGTAAGACACTTCAGTGGCAGAAGGATTATAGGAAAACAGATACGAGAGGAATGGGAATTACCTCTATAAAGTTTGGGACAAGTGTTTCACTGAAGTCATTTACTTTCATCAAACACATACTTATTAATATAATTATTTTATGTGCCAGGCACTGTGCTGGCCTCTGGGATCATGAGGTAATCAAAAGGAGATGTGTGCCTTTTACAGTTTTGAGTTGCATCTGTGATAAGTGCTATGAAATAAAGGTACACCGTTGTAAATCAGTGCATAGTGAAGGGCTTCTGGCTTAGGGAGGCATTGGAGACTTCCCCAAGGAAGCGATGTGGAAGCCTAAAACTGAATCCTGAGTAAGAGTTTATTGGTAAAACTGGAGGATAACAGTTTTCTGGGCAGGAAGAATAGCATGGGCTAAGGTCATGTGGTGGGAAAAAGCAGGAATAGTCAGGATACTGAAATAAGGCCAAGTGTAGCTGGAGCACAGAGACATTGATGAGAAGCAGGAGAGATTAGCTGAAGAGTGATGTTTAGGATTATAGTCCTTATCCTAAATTTCACAGGAGAGGAGGGGGAGATGAAGTTGGTAATACGACCAGATTTACATTTTGTTTTGTAGAGAACAGAAGTCTGTATGGTCAGGAGAGTCAAGAAGGTTGAATGTAGACCAATTAGTAGGCTATTACAAATAGGCAACTTCTCATTTTTATAGAATCTTTGGAATTCTCCTTAAGGAAAAAAGAATCTATTAGATTGAAAGTTATGACCTACTTTAGAATTAACTAAATTAGATGATTAATATCATTTAGCAAATCCATGACAGCTATGAGCAGAAATTATTCCATATTTCCAAATTCCCAAGTAAGACTGCATATCTCTTTTGAAGCTATACATTTTACATCAAATGATTTGTGCTAGATTGCTAAATGGAATAAAGTATTTCTCTTTAATATATGTGTGCTTGGATTTTTTCCAAATATATGTGTGAAAGAATGGTATCACTCATAAATACTATATGTTAGTTAAAATTATATTATTTTAATGAAAACTTTAAATTGATCTATTTTATATCATTGTTAAAAATATAGTAAATACATTTAAAGGTATTGGAAGCAAAAACACGGACATTAGCACTGTTACTGTGCTTCCTTTAGATGTATGTGTGTGTGTGTGTTTTCCAGATCTGTCAATGTTAGCCTATTTTGTACTAAAATTATTTAGCTTGTTGGCTTATTCTGGATTTGACAGACGGAGTTGGTAATTAATTCCCTTATCATAATGGAAACATAAGTTTCTTACAGAGTTCTTTTGAAAGAGCACTTGAGATATAACTATAGTAGCCTACAGTTGTGGAGGCCATGTAGCTCATGCATTCCACACCTTCCTTTTGGAATTCAGGCCCTACCTCTGTGCATACCATATATGGTGCTTCCGTTTTAGTTTTGACTAATCTCATTTGGGGACAGTATCATTCTCATTTATAAAAGACTTACATACATTTATTAAAAAGAACTTTCTGGAAACAATCAGATTTTCTTTGATTATGTTAAAATATTTCTTCTAATTCTTCATTTTTGGTGGGAATCAATATGTACAAAACAGTTAACAATTGAGATTAATCAAAAGTAAACCTTGCATACCTAGTTTTATCCTTAAGTTATGTATCAAATAGGCAGCCTGGTTTGCAGCAAATATAAAAATGTCAGGACATACATGCAGCGATAAAACCACATGTATAGGCATATGTAGTTCATATTAGCAAAGAAACACAAACTTCTGGTATACTTAGGCTTCACCTAGTTTTCTCAGAAAAGTGGTTAAACTTCAAAAAACACTGGAGTAAAAGATGGTCAAAACCACTCCTTGTGGATGTCTCAGAGGACTCAAAATCATCCTTAAAGAAGCAATTTGAATGGCACATGGTGGTGAACCATTTCCTGGTACCCATCCTGTTATCCCAGAGGCAGAGCTAATGACTATTTCCACATGTTGCCTTGCCATGTATGTCTTTATTGTATCTATCACATTGTATTTAATAGCCTATATGTGAATTCTTTAGGGTTGCGACCATATTAAATTAGCCCAATATCCCCAGTGCCTAGCATAAAGTATATACTTAAATAATCTACCAATATATAAATTAGTACATAGGACAGAGATTCTTATCTATTTTTTTCATTGATATATCCGCCCCAGTGTCCAGAATAATGCCTAGCACATAGTAGGTGCTTTATAGACATTTGTTGAATGAATCAATAAATGAAGAAATGGAATTTAAATTCTTATAATAAATGTCAGCACAGAGAGAGAAAATTTAGACAAGTTTGAGTGGAAATTACTTTTCATATTATCTCTAATTTACAGAATGATCAAGTCCCGGCCTCTGGATTACACCTTTGTTCCTCGAACATGGATTTTCCCTGCTGAATATACACAATTCCAGAACTACATGAAAGAATTGAAGAAAAAGAGAAAACAGAAAACTTTTATAGTAAAACCAGCTAATGGTGCAATGGGTCATGGGTAGGTATTTATCACCCAGAACATATAAAAGTTTTTTAAAAATTGAAGGAAAAGAATAAATGTGAGCATTCATTAATGGTTGAATATGAAAAAAATAATACAATGGGTTTTTGTTGCTTTTTTAGAACTAAATATAAATATTTAATGGACCGTTTTACCCTGTCCCACAGGCTTCAGTGATTCTATTTAAAAATTAAATCAACAGGTTATGAGACTTTAATAGGAGACAACAAAATAGAGAAAAAAAGATGTCTTCTAATTTTTTCTTAAACATAAGATTTTATATTTATAATAATTTTAGAGTAAACTTGGAGGGTAAAATTCAATTGATGTGGTAGACCTAAATTGACTCAGAGAAAGAAATGTCAAGGTAGTTATTCTTTCAATACCTAGGAATTTGAAAGCAAAATATATACCCTCTTCACTTTACAAATAAGTTCTTTTCTTTAGGTAGTTGTAGTAATTGAATTGAAATTGAGTAAAGCACATTTTAAGCTAAGACATCTAAGAACTAGACATGTTAGTTGAGCATAGATTTTATAGCTTAATATTCCTGTTTCCTTTTGCTTTCTAATGTTAGTTTTCTGCAATGTCTGTTTATTTTATTTTTTCCAAAGAAAATGTGGCTGAGGTTGCTTTTAATAAAAACACATGAGTTATTTTAATTGTTTGATTTTTAAAATGCAATAGCATTTTAAAGCAATAGCACTGCTAGAAATTTACCCAAGGGATACAGGAGTACTGATGCATAGGGGCACATGTACCCTAATGTTCATAGCAACACTTTCAACAATAGCCAAATTATGGAAAAAGCCTAAATGTCCATCAACTTACAAATGGGTCAAGAAGATGTAGTTTATCTGTACAATAGAATACTACATGACAATGAGAAAGGATGAAATCTGGCCATTTGTAGCAATGTGGATGGAACTCCAGGGTGTTATGCTAAGTGAAATAAGTCAGGCAGAGAAGGACAGATACCATATGTTTTCACTCAAATGTGGAACAGGAGAAACTTAACAGAAGACCATGGGGGAGGGGAAGGGGAAAATAGTTGAGAGGGAGGGAGGCAAACCATGAGAGACTCTTAAATACTGAGAACAAACTGATGGCTGATGGGGTCGGGGAGAGGGGAAAGGGGTGATGGACGTGAAGGAGGGCACTTGTTGGGATGAGTGCTGGGTATTATATGGAAACCAACTTGACAATAAACTATAAAAGAAAAATAAAAAAATAAATAAGATGCTATGGTGAAAAAAGATATTTGGAAATGTAACTGCTAGGTAAATTATTGTTCAACAGATTTCTTTGTAATTTTTAATCATAATTCAATAATTTAATCAGAAATTATTTTAACTGGCTTAGTAATTTTAAAAATAAACAACATGTAGTATTAGTGGGAATTGTATATTAATTGTTTAAAGTTGGTTTGCTAAATGTATCAAAGGAAAATTTTTAGGAGGGACTTAGTATAATTTCACATTTTTCTAAATTTTAATGTTAGCAATGTTTATGTTACTATGTGCTAATATTTAATGTTAAAACATTATAAATAACAGTCTGGTTTGATGAGCGTATAAAAAATAGCTGAAAAAGCATACTGTGTATTCTGTGCTGCCAGTTTATCTCATGTAATGTAACTGTACGTAGTAAAGGACACCTCTCTCTGTGGTGTCTTTGCTGGTCTTGTGTTTAGTTGTTCTATCCATTATTGAAAGTAGGCTATTGAAGACTCTAACGGTTATTGTTGAACTGCTTCTTTTTTCAATTCTATCAGTTTTTGCTATCTATATTTTGAAGCTCTGTTGTTAGGTGCATGTATGTTTGCAATTATTTTATCCTATTGATGTGTTGTATTTTTTTATCATTATATATTGTCCCTCTTTGACTCTTGTAATAATTTTTGTCTTAAAGTCTATTTTGTTTGATACTAGTATAACTACTCCAGTTCTCTTTTGGTTACTGTTCACATGGAATATCTTTTCCATTTGTTCACTTTCAACTTGAGTCTTTGAATCTAAAGTGAATCTCTTGTAGACAGTGTGTAGTTGGACCATGTTTTTGTTTGTTTGTTTGTTTGTTGGCTTTTGTTTTTGTTTTAAATGCATTCTGCCAAGTCTTGACTTTGCTTCTATATAGCCCTGTCCTTCTTTATGTTGTTATTGTCATGACTTACATTTGCATATATTGTGTGCCCATCAGCATAGATTTATAAGGGTTGTTTAATGAAGTTGTATTTTAAATAATATAAGGAAAAAAGAGTAGTTTCAAACCTAAACTATATTAATAGTGACTTTTATATTTACTTATGTAGTCACCTTTACTAGGTGTTTTTTATTTCTTTGTGTGGATTTAAATTACTATCTAGTGTCCTTTTATTTCAGCCAGAAGGATTCCCTTTAGCATTTCTCATAGGCCAGGTATACTAGCAGCAAACTCTTATCTTTTATTATCTGAAAATGTCTTAATTTCTCTTGCAATTTTGAATATTTCTGCCAGATGAAGAGTTGTTGGTTAGCAGTTTTTCCCCCGTTTCTGCCAACACTTTGAATATGTCATCTCACTACCTCTGGTCTCCATTGCTTCTGATGAAAAGTCAGCTGTTTATCTTATTGAGGAACCCTAGGGTTTGATAAGTAGCTTTCGTCTTGCAACTTTCAAGATTCTCTTTGTCTTGGCTTTGGACAGTTTTATTGTAATATGTTCTCCTGTGGATATCTTTTGAGTTTATCCTACTTGGATTCATTGAACTCTTTGGATGTGTAGGTTAATATTTTTCATCAAATATTTTTCTCTCTTCTCCTTTTGGGATCCCATTATGTATATGATGATATTCTTGATGGTGTTTCACAGGACCTTTAAGCTCTGTTCATTCTTTTCTTTTTTCCTGTTCCTCAGACTAGTTACTCTCAATTGACTTCATCTTTAAATTCACTGATTTTTCCCCCTGACTTCTTAAATCTTCTATTTAATCTCTCTAATGAATTTTTTTATTCCAATTATTGTATTTTTTATCTCCAGAATTTCAGTTTGGATCCTTCCCTCTTCTTTTAAAAAAATAACTACCATCTTTATGGACATTCTTTAATTTCATGAGATATCGTTCTCATGATCTCCTTCAGTTTTCTGTACATGGTTTCCTTTAACTCTTTAATTTAAAACAGTTGATCTAAATAGTTGATTGTCTAGTAAGCCATGTCTGGCTTTCTATTAATTGGTAATTTTTATGCCTATGGCCATAGTTTCTTTTTTCTTTCCATGACTTGTAATTTTTTTGTTGAAAACTGGACATTCAGAATGTTATAATGTAGCAACTTTGGAGATCAGATTCTTCCCATTTACAAGGCTTTTCTTGCTGCTTATTATGGTTTTTCTTTATTTGTTTAGTGATCTTTCTGAAAAATTTTGTGAAATCGGTATTTTTTTATTGTGTGTAGCATTGAAGTTCCTGTTCTTTTAGGTCAGTACTCACCTAGTAAGTGAACAGAGATTTCCTCAAACCCTTGCAACCAAAAAAACAAGTAAACAAAAACCCCAAAAAAAGTCCCCCAAACCGAAAACTCTCAATCTTTGCAGATGGTGTGTGTGTGTGTGTGTGTGTGTGTGTGTGTGTGTGTATGGGAACATGCCTTCAACAGTCAATTAGACAGTCTGCAACTCTGCCTTACTCTTTGTTTCCTGCTCCATCATTAACCATCAGAGCCTGATGGTTAGCCAGAGGTAAGAGCTTTAGACCTCTTAAGTCTTTACTGAGCATGCACTTAGCCCTGGGCATACACATGGTCTTCTAAATTCCCAGAAATATGTCTGAATTTTTCAAAGCTTTTATTCCCCCAAATGTTCTCATACTTTAGTCTTTCTTCCCAATCTTTATAGTTAGTATATTGTTTTCCCCAACCTTTATTGTTTGCCATAGGCAGCAGAAACTAATGCATTTGTCTGTAAATGTTTTCAATAATGCCCTCCTCATCTCCCCCCCACCCCCCTCCCCCTCCCCCACTCCCCATGTAGCTGCCTCAACACTGGGAGAGTTACTGATTAGGCAAGATAAAAGCAAGTCCTTTGAGTTCCTTCAGGAAGCAACCAGACAGATAAAAAACAAACAAACAGGCAAAACAAACAAAAAACTACCACAAGAATAAAGTCTATTCTGCACTCTAGAACCAGTACTTGTGTTATACCCAGATCGCAGTATCCTCACCGACCAGAGACCACCAGGGAGGCCGAGTCACACATGCAAAGGCAAAGGGCTTTATTACGGGCTTAAGCTCAGGGTCACAGACTACACCAGAGTATGGGTCCATGCTGAGAGCCTCGAACAAGGGCAGAGGAGGGTTTTTATGGGGTTTGAGACGGGGGAGTTACAGAAGTTGTGACATGGGAACAGTGATCCAATCATAATATTTCAACATCATTGACAGCGGGTTTGACCATACTCATTGTCTAGAGTATTCGTTTGGCGGGATCCAATTACAACATTTAGAGTACCTTTAAATTCAACCAGTCACAGAGCAAGCCTAGGGTCTTGTTCGGCGACTAACAGGTTAACTTTAACATTAAGTAACAGGGTCCTATCTATAGTTTCTATCTCCAGGCCTCTCCCTTAGTAATGTGGAGGGTGGTCGCTGGACTTTCCTGATTGGGTGTTGCAAGGGTGGTTTCTCCTGCCTTGGGCAATGTGTAACTGCCTGATAGATTCAGGAAAGCTGAAACTCAGGCCTTCTAGTTCAGAGGGGAAACTTAAAGCCTGTCATGGAGTCAGTTTGGTTTGGAAGTTTAGACTTGTGGCCTTACACTTGTACTAGGAACACAGACTATTCTTTAAGGCCACTGCTGAGCCGGAAGTTGGGGGATGGGACCAGAGTAAGTTAAAATGCTGCAAGCTGTTTTACATAGATTCAGCTGTTTGTTTGTTTGTTTCGGTGTTCCCTACTTGTTAGAAGCTTTTGGTCAGTTTCCAGAGTTCCATAAAAGTTGATTCTGACAATTTTTTGGCTGTTTTTGCTTTTGTGGGGGAGACACACTTTGAAGTTCCCTACCCACCATTTTCCTCTTGAGTATTATCTGTAGTTTTGTAAACATCTTGACACCATATCAAATTATCCTTTTAATTTTTTTTTTTTTTTAACTTAGGATTTCTTTGATAAGAAATGGTGACAAACTTCCATCTCAGGATCATTTGATTGTTCAAGAATACATTGAAAAGCCTTTCCTAATGGAAGGTTACAAGTTTGATTTACGAATTTATATTCTGGTAACATCATGTGATCCACTGAAAATATTTCTCTACCATGATGGACTTGTGCGAATGGGGACAGAGAAGTACATTCCACCTAATGAGTCTAATTTGGTAAGTGACATCAGACAAAATCAATGATTTTATTCATTTGTTCAACTTGTACTTTTTAAAGTACCTATTGTATGTAATGATTATATGCATCCGAGTCCCTCATCTCCAGTTTTTATAGTCAGGAATTGTATGCATAAACAAGACTGCTTCTAATTTATAGACAGCTTTGTGAAAATTAGAAAAAATGATGTCTCCTCCAGCAGGCTAATTAGGAGAAGGCACTCCCTCTGGGTGCTGTGAGCATAAGGATAGATTTCAGAGCACACATGTGTATGTAGTGGCTTTGTATAGAAATGACATATACACATGTGTATACAGTGGCCCTATTTAAAAATGAATTTCAAAGCACATATGTGTATACTTAGGATAGAAATGGCTTATTTAGAGATATAAGTAAAAATAATATCTCATTGAGAAGTATAGACAAAGTGTCATGAGTATAGGGATAGTTTGTGATTGGCTCCTCATAGAGGAGGTGGTATTTGAGCAAGCTCTACATAAAAGATAAGATGTGGGAGAAAATACATGAAACAGAGAAAGCAAAAGTTATCGGGAAGTAGAGTTATTAACTTTTGTTTGCACAAATGAAAAGATGATAAATTTACATTGACCAAATGTGAAGCAGGGACATAAATTGGCAGTTTCCATGTGCATTTTATAATATATTAAGTAGAGCTTTCTGTAGATATTTTTCCATTAAGACTTCCTTTGTGCAGCTATAACATATAACTGCAGTTTATAGCTTATGAAGGTCAAAATGTAATTTATTATCACAATTTTTCATGCAAATCACAAACTTTAATTTATAGTAAACTGTAATTTATTATCTGTACTTAAAAGTTTAATTAACTTCTACTCTGTTTTTGGATCTACTAATTATAGTAAAAATGACAATTAATTAAGTATTGTTTCCCATTTTATCAAAGGCCTGGTTTTTGTTCTCTTCCAATGTTATACACAGAATTAATTGCATAAGAGTGGTCATATTTTAAAGTTACATAATGACTGATCATAAATGTTGCTATGTTCAGTTAACTGAAAAATGTTGGAAACCTGGCGAAGGAAGAATGAGGGAACTGTCAAATAAGGGAACTGTTTTCACTGGAAAGGAAGATAAGAGAATCATCTTTTTAAAGGTCATAAGGTGTGAATATATCCAGTCACCAAGTAATATTTGAACTCTACTGCGTTCTAGGCATTGTGCTCGTTTTGGAAAAACAGTGACCAAGACAGATACAGTGCTTGACCTCTCAAAAGCAAGTCTAGTGGGGAGGCAGAAAATAAAATAAGCAGTTATAATACCTGATGGTAAGTGTAATGGCCTAAGAAACTGAGGGTGCTATGGCAGTGCATAGCAAGAACATCTAACCCAGTTGGAGATAAAGGTTAGAAAAGGAGTTCGTAAAGTGAAATATGAATAATGAAGGGTCAGCTTGGTTGGGGGCAGGGTGGGATGGAACTTCAGAGATAAAAATGGCCCAGAGATATGGTATGTCTGGAGAAAACAGACATGTTCAGTACTGCTCTATACAGACGATGAAAGTGTGGGTGTTCAGAAATGAGGATGAAGATTCTAGAGGACAGATCTTTCAGGACTTTTTAGACCATGTCTAGGATTTTTGGAATTTAACCTAAGAAGAAGGGGAGCATTGAAAGATTTTAAAGAAGGAAAGGAGGAATGAGTTTTTTGTCTTAAAAAGTTAACCTGGTCTGTGGTGTGGGGAATCTGAGATGGGGATGTGGATGGATTGGAGAGGTGAGGGTAAGAGAGAGGGTATATTTTGGTTCACCCACACGTGAGAGGAAAGATGGCCTTATTTGAAGTCACAGTAGTAGGGCTAGACTAAGAATAAGAATGCACATTTAAGATATATTTGTGATAACATCAATAACATTGATATAATAATTTACTGATGAGTTGGATTTGTAGAATGAAGGAAAGGGAGAGAGAAATTAAGGTAAAAACTCAAGATTTTTGGCATGGACAGTCAGGTAGATGGGGTGTTATTCACCATGATAGGGAGTTTGGGGCTGTTAAAGGTCTTCCAAGCTGGTGTGTTTGGTTTGACATGCCTGCAGGGGCCTCCAAATGGATCTGTGCTATAAACATTTGGATATATAGTGTAGGTCTGGAGTTCAGACAAGAGAACTGAGCTACAGGCCTAATTTGAGATTTGTCAGTTCTTAGATTATAATTAAAATAGTTGACCTGGGTAAGAATGAGTTATAATACATGTGAGGCAGATAGTCATGCTTTAAGAGCAAAGAGTAAGGAAAGACATAGGAAAGGGTAAGACTTGGAAGCTCATTTAGGTGATAAAGTGATTTCTTCTAAAATCTTAAATTATATGGATGTGATTTGCTTAAGTACACTGGGTTAGGAAATCATAAGGAAAGACCGTGAATCAGGAAATGTATCTCACTTTGCCAACGGCTTTTGACCATGTAATCTTGTGGCTTTGGTTCACATGTACAAAGAACGATCTCCTATATAAATGTCAGTGTTCCTCATATATCTCTAAAATTCAGAAGTTCACCTTTTTCAATTTCACAACCAAGTTCCTAGATTAAGATATGAAAAATAAGAAAAAAAGTAATACAAAATTTTATCTAAAGTGAGATCACAGTTATGTAAAAGGTAAGCTTAAGGAAAAAGGCTGGAAAAAAATAAACCAAAATGCCTTCATTGGTGGTTTTTGGAAGGCATATTACTGCATATTTGTTTCTTTTTTCCTATTTCCAATTTTTAAAATAGTGTGTGTGTTTATAAGAATTAAATATTGGTAAACTATATATAAGGAGATCATAAGACAGAATTTCAAACCTTGAAATATATTAAACATATATTTTTTTGCTACCAGTGTAGCAGTTGGCCAGTTCTTGAAAAGCATTGTATATCCCAATTCATTGTATTGAACCTATATGCTAAAAAATAGGGTGGAGAATAGTTATATCCTGTTCATACCTTGCAGGTTACTATTTGATTTATAGCTATCTTCACTGCTTATGGCCAACTGGCAATAAAATGCATAGGAGGGGATTTTTGTCAAGGTAGATGTGAAATTGGAATTTCTAATCCTACTTACAAAGCTACTATTTTAAGAAAAATGCCAAGTTCCATTTCTTACTTTTTTTCATTAGGATAGTTAGAGTTTTTATTACTGCTATTATTCTTGCCACATGGAGAGCCCCTCAAAAAATTATTTTCCAACATTTTTTTTTTAGTTGAAAAGTGATTTCTAGCTTGGAAAGTAGGAAATGCTATAGTTAGATTAATTTTCTTTTTCTTTAGATCAAGCACTTAAAATTAGATAAGCATAAGATTTATATTCTTTCTTTCAAATATCACTTAACTTTTTCTGAGTTTCATTAGGGTAGGGACTGTGTCTGTCCTGTTCATCTTTGTATCCACAGTGCCCAGTACAAGTTCCTGCAGATAATAAGTAGATGCTCCTTAAATATTGTTTAATGAACGAAAACATAAATTCTTAGTTAGTGATGGGCACATGGGTTAATAAACAGCATGTAGCTGAAATGATAAGTTCTGCACATATGAACTGAAGATGTTAATACTATAGATGTAAGTAACTAATGTAAATAAAATATGATGCAAATATACTTTGTTATTAAGAAACCTAAATAATGATCATGTACATGAAGTATATGATCATTGTGAAGCACCTGGCTATCTAAAGTAATTTCTGAGAATAGGTTCATGAGGGCAGAATTTATAGATTTGATATCTGTGCTCAATTCATAAGGAACCATTAGATGTGTCTTAGTTGACAATTATGAAAGGTTTTAAATTTTGAATTATGTTTCCAGTTTATTTGAGGATAACAGTATCAATAAATGTAGGACTATAAAGAGACCAAAGCACAGCAACTCCGGTAAGGAGCACTATACATTTATACTGTTAATCATTTAGACACTGTGTGGCATTGTACGGGGCTTCTGTCTGTTGGGTCTAAGTGCCCTCTGTTTTGTGAATGACTTCAAGTGGCCTCCCAGTCAGTGTGAGAGGGCAAGGTTGTGTTTAGTAGCCCTGCCTTTTGGTTTATTCTACTTACTTGAACTTTCATTTTTCATTTTTCTTTTAAAAGATATAGAATGCTCTTTCAGAAAATTCCCTTCCCCAAATAAATTTGGGTAAAAACTGTAAGTGACTAAAGACATTGAAAATAATGAAAACAAATAGTGTTTTTCTTGTTTAGAATTGTAGCATTTCACATTTTCATGTAATTACTTTATATATTCTTATTACTTTAATACTTTAAAAATGCTTACTTATTTATTTTGAGAGAGAGAGAGAATGTCCAAGTGGGAAAGGGGCAGGCAGAGAGTGAGAGAGAGAATCCCAAGCAGGCTCTGTGCTGAGCAGAGCCCAATACGGGCTCAATCTAAAAACCATGAGATCATGACCTGAGGCAAAATCAAGAGTCAGACACTTAGACAACTAAGCCATCTAGGCATCTCTATTTTATGGTAGATATATTTTGACTAATACATAAAGTAACTTTGTAGATGACTGTATTTGTAATCCTTTTATTGGAAAAGTGCCATTTCACTTAATTTGAAAATTCTCTAGATCATTGTGAATTTGTCAATTTGTATATTTTAAAATTTAAAAAAGTCTTTCACCTTTGACTGCTTTATGTTCTGTGAAACCTCAGTTCTAAAGTCTCATAGGTGATAACAACTTTGGTTCTTACTTGTTACAGACCCAGTTATACATGCATCTAACAAACTACTCTGTGAACAAGCACAATGAACGTTTTGAAAGGGATGAGACTGAAAACAAAGGCAGCAAACGTTCCATCAAGTGGTTTACAGAATTCCTACAAGCAAATCAACACGATGTTGCTAAGTTTTGGAGTGATATTTCAGTAAGATTATACCATTTCACAATTATAAGTGTCTTTCCTCAGATTAATTTAAAGGATTGTCAGCATTTTAAATAAAGAACAGATTACATTAGATTGGGCAGATGAAGTACTGTCATGAAGGAGGTAGGAATTGTGGCAGACCTTGATGAGCCATGTTTTTACTGCTAGGGATAGGAGAGAGGGGTTCTAGGTACAAGCAGAAGCATAGATGTAGGAGAATAGGAAAAGTGGCCCAGGTTGGCACATATGGTATTTGTGGGAATTTTATGGAGACTATGGCTGAAAAGATATGTGGAGGCAAAATTTTAGGTCTGAAAATCAGTGGTTAACTTGGTAGACAGTAAGGATTCAATCCTTCCAGATTAAAAAAAATTTTTTTTGTTTTATTTATTTCTGAGAGAGAGGCAGAGACAGCATGAACAGGGGAGGGTCAGAGAGGGAGGGAGATACAGAATCTGAAGCAGGCTCTAGGCTCTGAGCTGGCTGTCAGCACAGAGCCCGACGCGGGGCTCGAACCCATGAACTGTGAGATCATGACCTTAGCCGAAGTCGGATGCTTAACCAACTGAGCCACCCAGGTGCCCCAATCCTTCCAGATTTTAAGGTAGGAGAGTAATAAGGCCAAAGACTCTGAATTTAAAAAGATAAATCTGAAGATGCGTGTGGGTTGTGTTAGAGTAAAGACTAAGAGTAGGTAGAGGAGGGCACCTGGGAGTAGTTCAAGTGGAAAGAGTGGGCTGAGATGAACCACAGTAGAAGAGGTAGCAATGAAGTAAACATTGAAATTATAACTGAATGTCCCAAATTGCAGAGAAGTATTCAGAGACTCCTCTGCAGTTTTAAGGAGGAATTACAGGGAGAATGGGCTGGCTTTATCTCAAGTAAAGTAGGGAGGCATTTATTTTGAAAAGATATAGAGCTTAGTTTTGCAAGTGAGGGAAAAGAGTTTTATTCATTTATTCATTCCATTCATTCATTCATTCAATCATTCATTAAACATTGATTGAACCCATAAGCTTGTTTCTGGCTGATAATTTGAAGATTTAGAAGATACAGCTCCAGTCCTCAAAAAATGTAAGAGTTTTGTAGGAAAGACCCACATACAAATTGTTAATAAAATGTAACATGGCATGTATAACAGGGGCATGCATTGGATTCTGTGGGAATGTAGAGGAAGACCACATATAGTAACTTTCCTTGGGTGGGGATAGGAGGAGGACTTCCTAGAGGCATTGGCACCTGAATTAAGTTTGTAAAAGTTCATGAGACTATGATAATGAGTTCTAGAGACTTATTGAACTTGTAATATTTTCAGGTAGAAAGATTAAGCAGGTAGTTAAAAGTGTACGTTTGAAGTGTAATTGATAATTAAAGCCATGGTGGTGGATGACACTGCAAATGATAAGGGTAAAGAGGGAAAAGAAGCAGATCTGAGAAGATAACATTGGCGAAACTGCCCCTTTATTAAGAGAAGTATCACAATGGTAATCAGAGTTAGAAGATTATGTCTGTTGGAAGTACTTAATATGATAGGATTATGCAATATGATTTAGCTTTTCTTTGGGAGCAGATACTATAATTTAAATAAATCGATCATGGAAAATGGACATGAAAGTTTATAGTTAGTTCTCTTGAGAAAATTAGAAAAATCAATGTCATTATACTTATCCTTTCCTTGTTTTGTTGGTTGAATTTTTCATACCTTATTTTCTGTATCACAGAATGTAAATCCAGAGGTCCTTTGGTGTCAGACAAGTAAAAGGGAGTGAAATGGTCTGGATAGAAGTAAACAGAGTGTGCAGGGAACTGTGGTAACTTGAAAAGCATAAAAGTCTGAAGGGGGTGGACACTACTCAGCACCAGCCTTTTGTTGCCACATGGTATTTTGGGCCCAGTGTCGTTCATTCTTCTAATTTGTCAATAGAAGGTCTAAGTCTACTGATTTATGAAATGTTGGCAACACATTTAAAATGTTTTGAAAATGTAGAGGCTCCACCAAAAATGTGTATCAGCTGAATTTTGTTGGAGGCCCACCAACTTGTTAACTCTCTATCCTATCTTCCTTGTAGCCTAAATACATACGAACAAGAAATCTGATTACAAAAATACTGTTTATATAGCTACCCATTTATTCTATTAAGTCCAAATTGCAGAAATTCAAAAAAGTATTTTATTTTAATAAAAAAATTTTTTTTAATGTTTATTTATTTTTGAGAGAGAAAGAGAGAGAGAGAGAGCACAAGCTGGGTAGGGAGAGAGACAGAGTCACGGAATCCGAAGCAGGCTCGGGGCTTTGAGTTGTCAGCACAGAGCCTGATGCGGGGCTTGAACTCACAAGCTGCGAGATCATGGCCTGAGCTAAAGTAGGATGCTTAACTGACTGAGCTACCCAGGTGCCCTGAGTCTCAAAAAAGTATTTTAATAATGATAGTTTATTATCATGGTAGGTCATATGCATTAAAGGTGTGAAATTTATTATTTCACAAAAAAGCAAATGGAAGATCATACATGATGATACCTGGATGGTTTAATGAATGAGTCATTTGATGAATAGCTCAGTGAGACCAAGAAAGTTTTATACGCCCTGTGATATCCCTTTGTTGTTGTTGTTGTTGTTTCTACCAAATTTTCACTTCTGTGTGGGTTTTCACTTCTTCAGAGAAAAGGTGGAACTTCTTGGACTGTCTTGGTGAGGAATATATAGAAAGTATCAGTCAGAGAGAAAAACGAGTATCATAAGCTTTATATCCATTGGTTTTAAGTGGTACTTCCCCTACATAATTTATTAGGAGAAGGTATAGAAGTCAGACTAATATTATTAAGAGGGCATGGAAATGGACCTTTCTGTGAGAGCCTAAAATATAATTTTCATATAAAACTTGAACACGGCCAATGTGTGCCTATTAAGCTTTGACACATTTGTGATCTCTTCTATAAAGGGGTAAATTCTACACCGTTCTTGCCTATATTAGTTATAATGTATAATAACAATCTACAAATAAGCAATTAGTTAATACTTAGTAAATTATTAACTTTTCCAAGTATTTATCTTTTAACTATATTTACCTTTATTAAGAATTGCATAAAATATATCTGTTTAAGGTGAGTTAATGAAATAATATATTATAAAAAAAAGGAGATAGAGAAGGAAGTCAGTTTTTATGTGTATGTCATAGTTTACAAATTTCATGAAGTTAACTTTGGACTTTTTCTCAATGACCTCTTTTTTGGGGGGCAATTTCTCTAAAAAGTAACTGTCCATATATGAAAACTGACATCCACTACCTCCTGTGTAACACAGAGATGTGTGCTTTAGTGCTGGTCAAGAATGAGTAAGAAGTCAGTAGAAAATCAAGCCCTGGAGGTTACAATAATTGTAATCACTCATAAACCCCATTCTTCCTGAATGCTTTTTATACACTGTAGATGCACATCCACAAATCATATTTCAAAACAATGACACTATGTTGGAAATTCTCAAAAGCATTAGTGGAGTTTGATTTGTGTTTGGTTATGTCACTCCTGATTTTCACATATACCTGTAGTCTTGCCTTTGCATTCCTAAAACTGTGTTGTTTTATGTAGAAAAAACACAGATTTGTAATTCTTCAGAGTCTGTTAATATTCAGTCTCCCATCCCACACTGTCTGAGTTGTTTCATGCAGACATTTATTAGCCAAGGCTTTAACTTTTTTTTCCCCTATTCTCCAGTATCTTCACTAATACATCCAAAGATTTACATTAAGTGATTTTTTTCTTTTATCTTTATATACTTGAGTATTTTTAATGTTCAATTTTTTGTTTTGAATAAAATTTTTCTGAGAACAGCCTCTCATAACATCTCTAATACTTACCCCAAATATGATCTGGGTTGGGATTCTGGATAACAGCAAGATTAGTCTGTGTCCCATTTTATTTTCTCCCATATAATGAATATTGCTCCCACAGGTAATGGAATGTTTGTTTCTGACCTGAAATATGAAGTGGAGTAAGGAATGACAGGATAATTATAACAGTAATAGTAATTAACACTTACTGAAGGTTTACTCTGTTCTAGGCACTATGTCAAGAATTTTACATGGCGTCTCATTTTGCACTTACTTCAGTCTTGTGCAGTAGGTATTATTACTATTTCCCCTTTACGTTGGGAAAGTGAGACTCACAAAGTTTAAGCAACATAACTGATGTTGTACACTAGCAAGGAGCAAAGCCAGGAATAAGCCCAGAAAGCCTGGTTAGAGCCAATCTCTCAACTGCCACGTTATAGTGCCTATCTCTGTAGAGAGGGATTTAGAAAGACAATATATTTTAAGGCAAAAAATCAGCAAGACCACTTTTATACAATCCATAGCTTGTTCTTAAACTTCAATAAACCAACTTTTTGTTGTATTAGCAATAGTATTGTGTGTCCTCTTCTCTCCAGTAAACCTTATGAGCTGCAAAATCATCACCGTACAAAGAAGCCCACCCTCTTCTAGATTCTGTCCCAGCCTTCCAGCCTTTGTCTCCGTGAATGTTGTATAATGCTGTTTGTGAAATAGTTGACTCTCGTTGTAATTTTTCTTCTCTGCCACTCCTAAACCCTTCGGTATGGTTTCTGAGAGGGCTAGCACGTGCTCCGACCTTTATTTATTTATGAGATAGAAGCCACATTTATCGTGTTTTTTGTTTTTGTTTTTCTTGAGAGAGATAGACAGCATGAGCAGGGGAGGAGCACAGAGCCTGACATGGGGCTCCAACTCATGACCAGGAGAGATCATGACCTGAGATGAAATCAAGAGTTGGAATCTTAACTGACTGAGCCACCCAGGCGGCCCATGTCAAGCTTTATTTTACTTAATTGTTCACAGATATTTTTGAGCATCTACTAAGTGGCAGGTACCAGTGTAGGCACAAGGCCATGACTCTAACTAAAAAAGGAAAAAGATCAGCTGATTCTGTGCTGTGTGAAATGGTGCAGTAAGGGAAAATTATGGCTACTTTTGACTCCAGGGTCAGGGAAGGTCTTTCTGAACACCAAGGAGCCAGACATGGGAGAATTGGGAAGAATGTTCCAGAACGAGGGAACAGTTACTGCCAGGGGCCCTAAGCAGGCACATGTGGCTGGAGTGTAACGAGCAGGACAAGAGTTGCATGAAATGGAATCAGAGCAGCGCAGGGGCCATGTGTCATAGACCTTTGTGAACCTGGCCAGGGTGCTGCTCTGTAAGTTCAGGCCTTATTTCCACATATGTAAATAAGATACACAAAAGTAAGGCATTTTCACTTTTTTTTTTTTTTTTTAAATCGCTCTACTTGCAGGAATTGGTTGTAAAGACTTTGATTGTAGCAGAACCTCACGTCCTGCATGCATATCGAATGTGCAGACCTGGTCAGCCTCCAGGAAGTGAAAGCGTCTGTTTTGAAGTCCTTGGATTTGATATATTGTTGGACAGAAAACTAAAGCCATGGCTTCTGGAGGTAAGGCATTTCTTTAAGAAGAAAGGGAAGTTACTATTGTTCTTGTGCATTAAAACAAATGTTTTTAAGCAGGTAGTTGGCACAGTTGTCTCATTAACGGAACAGAAAGAGGCCTGAATGGAACATGTGGGAGAAGAGAACATTCAGAGAATAGAACAGTTCCAAAAATGGACCAATATGTGTTTGATATTACTTTTCCCAAGTTAATTTTTGAGAGCATTTCTATGCCAGGAGTTTTGGATATATGTGTGGATTTGCTTCTTACTGATTTATCTACTTTCTCCACTATTTTCTCAGTCTCATGGCCTCTATTACTCCATGACCTCTGGATGTCTTTCCTCTGTGTGGGTGCCTGAGCTTCAGGACCACAGCCTCCTTGTCTTCATTGGGTTCCTATTCAAACTCTCCAAGAAGAGAGAGAGAGAGAGACTCTGACTGGCTCATTGATCAGTATTCAGTACCTAATACCCCAGCTGGCATGGCTTCTCTCTGAAGCCATATTATATGTGTGGGGCTCCCTCACGTCAAGCCTGTTAACTGTCTACCTTTTGGGTTTGCTGCCGGTCCCTGGTATGGTCAGGGTCATTGTTATTTTTCTCTCATTATAAAAGATCACTTAATATTAGGAAAATATGAAATAATATAAAGGAAAAATGAAAGTAGTCTCTGCTTAAAATTTGTGTATCTTTTCTTCCAGTCATATTACATCCAGAAGAAAACTTAGAAGTTTTCTACCCTATTCAGCAGTTTCCTCTCAGACCCTTGATTTGGAGTCATAGAGTGCATATTTAGGAAGCTTTCTCAGAAAAATACACATATCTAAACATTGAGTATTTACTAGATTAGTTACATTTTGGAACATATTGCTATAGAAGGTATAATCAACAAGTACCTTTCATTTTATGCTGAATATCTCTCCTTTTTTATTAATGATTTTAAAGTTGGAAGTTCTATCTGTAATGTGCAAAAGCAAATTGAATGAGTGATAGATAACCAAGACACTTAAAATATATTTTTAGGAAGGAGCACTTTTCCACTTTGAGGACTAATGTGTTTGTGTGTGTGTGTGTGTGTGTGTGTGTGTGTGTGTGTGTGTATGTGTGTGTGTGTTCAATCTGCTGTGTGCCAGTATGTTATATTTCCAATCAAATACAGATGTCAGATGTTCAAATTTTGTTCCTGCCTGGATCCTAGAAATAAGGTTTTGCTTATTGTTTTGAGTCCTTCATTACTTGAGTATGAAAGCATTTGACTCTGCACCTTACTAGGCCCAACACTGTCTTCCCTAGGTTTCCTACTTTGTTTGCAATTATTCTTTCCTGTTCTTAACTGTATTTTTTCCCCTGCTCTGCTACTTGTCTTTTATCCTTGATGGGGTGGGAAAAAAGTGAAGGCACATACATGAAGTGGTACTCAAAGTATAGTAGGAAGTAATGACTATGGATAATTTAGTTACCTGTTTTTAAAAGCATTTTGTCTAACTGAAGCTTTATATGAGCTTGGTAAATCAGAATTGACTGAATGGCTGAATTCTATATACTTTTTAAAGGTTCAAAACACTATTGTTTGCATTAATGTCTCATCATACTTTATCCTCTCCTTTATCATGTCCAGATTAATAACCATTAAAGAAAACTCTACACAACACTCAACAGCTAACTAGCATTGTTTGCATTAGCATTTTTTCATTTCTCTTTCATTTCCAGATCAGTCAGAACCATTACAAAAACTTTATAATAACCCATCACTATGGATCATGAACATTTATTGTATTAAAACAATTAAAATATTCTTATTTAGATCTTGCTTCTTTGTGTTTTCTCCCAGCTGCAATTGTAGTGGTTCTAACATATGTTGTTAAAAACCTTTTGGCACCATCAAGTGGAATAAGATAGAAGGTGCATCTGAGGATGTGATAACTTTTAGTTAACTGGAATAATTGCAGGTAATGATTCATAGTGACAAAACTGCAGAAATTTTCAAGCATAGAAACATTTTTAGGGAAAAGTATGAAAATTGGGTAGGGTATGAATATACTGCTAATACTTTACTTACCCTTGAATTACTTTCAACAAGTCACTGTGTCGGGGGTGGAGATACAGGAAGACAGAATAGTTGCCCTGGTTTAGTGGGGACTCAGATATGTGTCTTATGGTAATAGTTACAGGTATAAGTAGGGAATAGGGTACCAGCAAAAACAATAGAGTGATTGATCTCTCTGTGTACAAGTGTGTATTTGACAGTTAAAAAAAAAAAATCTTTGCAGAGGAGGGAACTCCTGAGCGGAGTATTTAAGGTTGTATAAAGTACGGTGGGGACTGGGAGTTGGGAGAGAAGGAGGTGGGATGAGGAGAAATTACTGGGCAGAGGGAATAGCTCTAATTTGGGAGCACAGAAGCTGTTATGGATACTTTGTTATGTGCATGAAATGATTGTGCTTGTTTTGATAGTAAAACTGTCATTCGGTTGGTTAATAAATAGTATTTATCAATTTAATTTGCTTTCTAATAGTTTTCATTTTTGCATGCATTTACAAGCTGCTGAACTTCAAGACCCTAACATCTGCTGGGTTTAGTCTGTTTTAGAATTAGGGTAGGAATGAGAACCAAAGGAGCCATCAACATCACAGAAATTTGAATGAAACACTAATTTTCATAGTTTCTCCTGTCTTTAGTTTTTACTTTACTTTTCTCATAGAACATTTGAGAAATCCAAAATGTTAATTTAAAAAAGCTTTTCTACCTTTTCATATCTTAGTCTGTCTTGTGTGAGTACTTTCTCCATAGTCCAATTTCTTTTTTATGGTAGTAGAGGGAAGATTCTGACATAGGTAAGGGAGGGTCTGAGATCACAACCATTCTGGTTGTGAGGGAGGGGTATGTCTGGAAGAATACCAGATGGCAGTTTTGGAATGGAACACCCAAGGAGTTCTATAAAGATAGATTACATTTCAGTGAACCACTTAATCATTGTTTCCTAAATGTCTGGCTTATTTTACAATCCTGTTACACATATGTAGCAGCTGAACGATCATTAATTGCATTACAAATTCCAGAGAGTTGAATAATCAGTATGGAATGGTTATTTTTTTTTCATATAAAATATATTACCCTTTCTTTACACTTGTAAGAGGAAATACTTAAGAGTTTTGAAGTAGCAGATTAATAAACTCCCTTTCATTTAAAAAAAAATTTAAAAATATTTTATTTATTTTTGAGAGAGAGACAGAGTGCAAGTAGGGGAAGGGCAGAGAGTGGGAGACCTAGAATCCAAAGCAGACTCCAGGCTCTGAGCTGTCATCTGGAGCCTGACATGGGGCACAAACTCATGAAACGCAAGATCATGACCTGAGCCGAAGTCAGATGCTTGACCAACTGAACCACCCAGGCACCCCAGTAAACTCCCTTTCTTAAATTTTCCTGAAATAAACGGATGTTCTTGTAGTTACTAAGCTATTCCTTTCTCCTTGGGACCACATCACATAGGCAGAATTATGTCTATCACCTTCTAAATCAGAAATCAGTAAAGGCATAATATAGTTGTGGTTTCTCTATAAATGGAATAGCATGCATCAAAATGATGGCATGAAAGATTTTCATGATATATGGGTAAGAGAATATAATTGGATTATAAAATAGTAGTTTTAGTATAAGCATGTATTTAGAAAGTAAGGTGAATATTATAAATATGCATGCATAGCAAATACTTACCATTTAACAAATGGTGAGCAATATACTATCAAATAGATGACTGTATGCTATGTAGTGGGATTACAGGTGATTTTTCTGTTGTTTGTTTAGCTTCTATTTATATACTTCTATTTATTTATACTTCCTACAACCCCCAGAGTTGTAAAATGCATGCTGTCAAGTTTTTTTGTGTCTTATGGAATGGATTTGTAAAAGACAACCCTCTTCCAGGCTAGGGGCATCATATTTGTTGAGATTGTCTGTGGTGTTAGGTGGTGGTCGTGAAGCTGAGCTGTAGTTTAGAACTCAGCATGTTCTGAGTTAATTACATAATTTTCTTAAACAGTTGCTATTCTAGTTACATTTTCATAACAACAGCAACAACAAACTCAATAGCAACAAAGATAAAGACAAGAACTCCAGCTCTTGAGGGGGTAGCATATTGTATACTTGGTTTCTGGGTATACACAGTTACTGTCACTTCAGCATATTGTTTACTGGGTTTCAGGTTATATACAGTTACTGTTACTTCTTATTTTTCATCTTTTTACAAATGTTTATTTATTTTTGAGAGAGAGAAAGAACATGAGCAGGGGAGAGGCAGACACACACACACACACACACACACACACACACACACATGCGCGCGCGCACACACACACACACACACACACACACACACACAGAATCAGAAGCAGGTTCCAGGCTCTGAGCTGTCTGCGCAGAGCCTGATGCGGGGCTCAAACTCATGAGCTATGAAATCATAACCTGAACAGAAGTTGGATGCTTGACGAAATGAGCCACCCAAGTGCCTTCTTATTTTTCATCTTAATAAAATCCTGGGAATCATGTTGGAAAGAACACTCACAGATGGCTCATTTATTCCCAGAATTCTTATACAGTTAAAGAAGCTCATAGAGATTAATCTGCAACTACCTTTAATGGTATCTTCTGAGTTATATACTCATTTTTTTGGAAATGAAAATGATGATTATTGTTTGATCCAGGTAGAAAGAAAATAGCTTATTTTTTAGACTGCAGTAGACAAATTCATCCAGAAGATCTGAAGCAGTGAAAAGAGGGCACTGATAGTTTCTGCATGCTAAATAAATGCATATGAGTATTACTATATTAGTAACATGCACATCTTTTTTGTTACATCATCATTATTATTGTTAATACTTGTCTTCTAATCTTTTTGTCAGAATGAGTCACTTGTAACTTCCTGAAACTTAAAACCTAGAGCATGGAGTGCTGGGCTGGAAAGGGTGAAGAGGAGGGAAGGGCACATATACTGACTGAAGATCCTGAGCTAAGGCAGCAGGGGAAGAGGGCTGTGAGAGCAGTCAGTTCCTTGAAACTCCTTGACTTAGGGGGGTGGGGAAGGGAGGTATGACAGTGGTACCTGGGCCATCCAGTATGCGATGCTTTGAGATTTATTGTAGAGTTTTTCTGTTGGTTGGAGATCTTGCATTAAATTAAAAAATATGAGTTGAATATTTATCAACCTACCAACATTTGGCCATATTCATTGTTTTCTTTATAAATTTCAGATTAATCGAGCTCCAAGCTTTGGAACTGATCAGAAAATAGACTATGATGTAAAAAGGGGAGTGCTGCTAAATGCATTGAAGCTACTGAACATCAGGTAAAGTCTTTTCTTCATTGTTTGGAAGGTTTCCAGCACATCTAGCCTGGAACAATCACTTGTACATATGGTTGGCTTGTAACTTTTTTCTTTTCTTTCTTTTTTTTAATTTTTAACATTTGTTTATTATTGAGAGACACAGAGAGACAGAGCACAAGCAGGGAAAGGGCAGAGAGAGAGGGAGACACAGAATCCAAAGCAGGCTCCTGGCTCTGAGCTAGCAGCACAGAGCCCGACACAGGGCTTGAACTCACAAACCTTGAGATCATGACCTAAGCCAAAGTCAGCCACTTAACCGACTAAGCCACCCAGGTGCCCTGACTTGTAACTTTTTCATATTTTGTTGATTTCTTGATTCCATTCTTCAAATCCATTTAGTGTTTTCTTTTTAAATATCGTTTCCTTTCTTCTACATACTGCTTCTCCTTCTCCCAGTATCATGCTCTGAATCTATAGTAAATATGGTTGAATTACAGTGTTGGTATAATTATTCAATATAGAGTATAAGGTTGAACTGGAGAATATCTGAGGAAAATATCTAGATTATCATCCTCACCTTAAAACAAAAAACTAAAGCAGAAGGCATTCAGCATTCAAGAAGTAAAAAAACAAACAAACAAAAAAAGACAAAAAAACCCAATAACCCTCAAACACATAGATTTCCTACTTTCTGTTCAGAAGTCTTCCCACTGTACTATGCTGCCTGGGAAAACAGAAATGAGAGATGGTTATCAAGACAGGGTTAACCTTCCCATTGAAAAGCATAAGCAAGATTTCCTTTTTTTTTTTTTTTTAAAGGCTGAATAATATTCCATTGTATGTTTATACCACATCATCTTTATCATTCACCTAAGGATGAACATTTAGATTGCTTCTATGTCTTGGTTATTGTGAATAATGCTACAGTGAACATGGGAGTGCAGACATCTTTCAACTTCTTTGGATAGATACTTAGAAATGGGATTGCTGCACTAATATTATTAGAATTGTACATGATCATGTACCTCAAATAATTGGAATTGCTATTTTGTGGGAAAGCTTTTGGCTCATTATAAAATAAATTTGTTAGAAGTTTAGTTGAAGTGCTTAATGAAGTAGTGAGTTGTCTGCCTTACAAGTGTTCAAACAGTGTTTAGGATATTGGATTAAAGGACTTCTGAGGTCATTTAAGCCCAGGGATTTTATGAATTCGATTGATTCTCATTGTCATTTAAAGAACTCTAAAAAAGTTGTGGGATGCTTCCATGCAATTTATTTATTTTAAGTGTTTTCAAGCATTTAGCAGATACCTGCATGAGAAATAGCTTTATATGGAGAGCATTACTGAAAGAAGAGATTACATTAATTTGTTTAGAAATTGTCATACATTCCCTTCTTTTGCTTGATCAAAAAATGACTTGCTTAAATTTAACTGATATTTCGATTATCCTAAAAGAAATGAATAGAAGAGATGTAGAAGGTGAATTTTTGTTTATTTAGCTTACACAAGTAGTAGGCCTATACATTTTTTTAACATTTACTATTATTATATAAGTAGGCCTCATGTTTTCTGTTTTTGTTTTTTGCATGCCATTGCCAATGATGTTACTAATTTAGGACATAATCTATGGGTGTTTTGGTCTCTTAAAAAGTGAGATATATACAGGTCAAACAGAAATGTCTAGACTTAAAAATAAAGGAGAGTTGGAATTAATGTTCCTTGTTTTTCTTAGTGTGTTCCATGAAGAGCATTTAGTAGAACTCTTAACATTTAGAGCATGTGCTACTAAGGCTTACATTGCAGGTGTGCCTTTTCTTCCATCCAGATGGAATGCTCCGTGGACATATACATGTGTTAGACTTGTATTTCAGATCTACGCCATACATAGAGTATGGCTTCATTACCCCAAAGTTCATTTTATGAGACTATTCTTTTAATCTCAAGCAAATCCAGGAGAATGCAGATTGTTCAGAGTATTTCATCACAAACCCTGGGAGTACAGAACTTCTACTTTACTACATGGAAACACATATCCAGCAGCTGATTAGATTATTACGATGTGTATATATATTATATTTTGGAGAGAGAGAGAGAGAATGCGAGCAGGAGAGAGGGACAGAGGGAGAGAGAAAGAGAATCTTAAACAGGCTCCACGCTCCGCATGGAGCTTGACACAGGGCTTGATCCCATGACCTTGGGATTATGACCTGAGCTAAAACCAAGAGTTGGATACTCAAATGACTGACCTACCCAGGTGCCTGTGAATACATATATTCAATAAACTTTGGTTCATATCTCTAGTATGCCTCCTCTTTTGCAAATTCTCCTCATAGGGATAAGATCAGGGCTTATTTGAATTCCTATGTTTTATCTTTTAGGACCAGTGATAAAAGGAGAAACTTGGCCAAACAAAAAGCTGAGGCTCAAAAGAGGCTTTATGGCCAAAATTCAATAAAAAGGCTCTTACCAGGTTCCTCAGACTGGGACCAGCAGAGGCATCAATTGGAGAGGCGGAAAGAAGAGTTGGTATGAAAATTTTAACAACATGGCCACAATTTGATTTGCATAATTCATTGTTCAGATTTTATTTGTAAAATTTCTTCCTTTTTAGAAAGAGAGGCTCGCTCAAGTACGGAAACAGATCTTAAAAGAAGAACATGAAAATCGGCATATGGGGAACTATAGGTAACTGTGTTTCCATTGTCTTATAGATTGAAGAAGTAAAGTGTCACATCAACTATTCTACATTTTTTAACCTTTTAGACTCTTTTTGAGCACTATTTATTTCATTCCTGCTAGCTAGTTTCATGGGTGGTTGTATGAGATCTTTTAAACCTGATACGATCCTGTGACCTTACTTGCTTATAATGTAGTATTTTGAGAAAGTCAGGTTTCAGGTCTCCTCGTTTTCTTCCTGTCAGAGATTTCTTTCTCTCAGAGGATTGCTCTACTTTGGTTAAACTTAGATATGTCAGGAACCAGGCAAAGAGTGAAAATGTTGAAGGAAGCAGGTATGTATGAGACAATACAGAGGAATGTGGACTGTGTTGAACTGGAATCCTTCACAGTATCCTTTGACAGGATAAAAGAGGTGCCCCCCGCCACCCCACTAAATTCCTTGTGTTCTTGGAAAGATTGCCCCACCTCCCAACCATTAACAGAAATAGGTGTGAGAACTTCTCACACTCTTGGTAAAACATTCTTGCCTGCCTTAACATCCTCAACAGCAGCAATGACAATACATTCCTCTCACTCTGCCTTTACTCTCTTCTCCCATCAGGGAGGCAAATTCCACCACTGCAAAAGAGAATATCAGGATTAATGCCTGCATTCTTGTATATGTCAGTAACCACACTGTACGTGCACAGCTTTCAGGTTATTGCTCGTTACCTGCTCGCTCCCATGAAGATCTGTATTTCTTCAATATGCCCAGTTGTAATTCTTATCCAGCCACTTCCCCACAACCAAACCCTTATACTATGCCTTCTAGAGCTTCATTGTTTAATGACCATTCTCTAGATAAACTTTAATTTGCATAGGTAACCAATGACAATTTGTGAATTTCTTATACCTGTGTTCATCTTTATTGCTAGCACCTAGTAAAATGACTTCTCAGAGTAAGTGGTCAAAGAATATCTATGCAATTGACCTTAACTCTTGTACTATGATAGTTTCTTTTAAACAAGTTGGTTTGTCTGATTTTTTGTAGACGAATTTATCCTCCTGAAGATAAAACTCTGCTTGAAAAGTATGAAAGTTTGTTGGCTGTTGCCTTTCAGACCTTCCTTTCAGGAAGAGCAGCTTCATTCCAGCGAGAGCTGAATAATCCTTTGAAAAGGATGAAGGTAAAGGAATGAATGTTTATGAAGAGAAAAATGAATGAAGCCAAACAATATGTTTTTAAAAACAGCCCACCTTTGTCCCACATATAAAAACATTTTAAGAAGCATTTTCCTTCTGTTTTATCCGTTGGTAGCATTTCATAACCAACCAAGTGATTTCATAAATTAGATGTCTAACAGGACAAATTATGCAGCAGAGAATGTTGATATTATAATATCAATCTATTGTAATAAACCTGTCTTCTCACAGAGGTGTGTATATGCAACTGAATTAAAAATCCATTGAATTAACCTAGTGTTTTTTGATGCTCTTATTACTTGTATAACTAACATTATACAGTATTTTTCCCTGAAATACTGCATAGACCTGGCATATGGGAAGTAATTAAATCACACACATGCATAGACATGGAGTAATCTGTTTACCAAAATGTCTATCAGTTTTCTTTTGTAGCATAATAAACCACTTATTTGCTCATATTCTGTAATCTGACTAGGCTCAGTTGAGTGGCTCTTAGGTTGGGGTTGTTTGGAGTGAATCATATAGTTGCTTTTATCTGGAAGCTTACCTGGGGCTGGAAATCCAGGAGGGCTTCCCCCATCTGTCTGGTGCCTCAGTTAGGATAGGTGGAACATCTGGGGAGCTGGCTGGATATTGCATTCTCTCTACATGGTCTCTTAGAAGGCTACCCAGATCCCATAATATGGTAGCTTGGAGTTCCAAAAGGAAGCATTTCAAGAGCCTAAACCCAGTGTGCAAGTGCTAATCAAGCCACTGCTTGTGTTGTGCTTGCTAATGTCCCCTTGGGCAAGTAAGTTTATGTGGACCTATTAAAATTGTTGGCACTTTATATTACTGTCATTTTGTTATGGTGATAACCTCCATTTCTTGGATACACTGTTAAACTGAGTGATTCAAAAATCATGATAAAGTTTATTATAGACAGATTTTGCTATCATCTTTTCACTCAAATTCTGTAGCAAGGATACAAAGCCATTTTCAATCTGGCTACACCTAAAAGACAGAAGCAGAAGGAATAAAGCCAACTGCAATGTTCTTTTCTTCTGAAAGGGTTTCTTTAGACATACCCAGATGTTTCCACCATTAGAATTATATTCTGTGGCCCCTTTGCTTTTCTTGATCAAGACAGTGGGAGACCTTTGTTCATTTTCCTTCACCTGCTCTGCACTATTATTTGTGTCTCCTGTGGACACAGAATCTGTGTCATCTACTCATTACTGTGTTCCGCAGCCTCACTTTTTCTGCTAGAAAACCTAGGAATTTTGGAAGCAAATAGACCAATATTCAAATTCTAGCTCCTCCATGCATTAATTTTGTAACCTTAGACTAAATTATTTGAACAATAGTTTCCTCATAACTAACATAGTACTATTAGAACTATACTTGCCAGGTTGGTTGTTAAAATAAAATGGAAGTTAATTAAAGGAGTCTGTATAAAGTAGTTGGCACATAATAAATTGGCTTCATATCTTAATTCCTGTATTCTTTGTATTCTTCAAAACCTAGTTTAAATGTCACCACTTTGCCTGCCCTATTCTATTGATTAGTGAACCTCTTCTTATACAAATATCATACTATCTGTAGTACTGTTGCTTTTGACTTTGCAGGTCCTTTATACTTCCATATAAATTTTAGAATCCCCTCAATTCTAGATTTTGATTAATTTTTGCATTACAAAGTGGTTGCTGGGATTTTAATTGGGACGATAAGGAATCTATAAAATAATTACTGGGGGATTAACAGCACTGAGTCTTCTGATCCATTAATATGGCATATTTTTCCATTTACTTAAGTTTTAATTACTCAGCTATGCTTATAGCTTTTGGTGTATAATTTTTGCACATTCTTTATTAAATTTTTAAAAAAATGTTTGTTTTGAGAGAGAATGTGTGAACAGGGGAGGGGCAGAGAGAGAAGGAGACAGAGAATCCCAAGCAGGCTCTGTGCGTCGGTGCAGAGCCTGATGTGGGGCTTGACCTCACAAACCTTGAGATGAAGACCAGAGCCCAAATTAAGAGTCAGATGCTTAACCAACTGAGTCACTCAGTTGCCACTAATTACATTTATTCTTAAGTATTTGATGTTTTTGCTACTATTGCCAACAATACAGTTTAAAAAATTTTTCATTTTTAAATTTGTATCCAGGATGTAAACATATGATTATTTTTATGTATTGCCCTTCTATCCAGTAATTTTTTAATAATGTATTTTTATGAACAGCCACCTCAAATTAATTTCTGGTTTTTATTCGGTTAGTTATTTATATATTTATATATTTATTTGGAATTCTTGCTTAATTTCCATACATCAAAAATTTCTAGTTTTATTTTTGTTTAAAATTTCTAGTTTATTTCATTAGTGTTAGAAAACATTCTGATTTCAATATTGTAAAATGAACTGATACTTGCTTTAACTCAGTAGAGTACTTATTTTAGTGAACGTTCCATGCGTACTTGAAAATAATGTGCTGCTACAGGTGTTGGTTATAGAGTTTTACACATGTCACCTAAGTAAGTTGGGCTATTCGTATTGTTCAAATATTCTGTATCCTTTCTAGTTTCTTTGCCTTACTTGTTCTAGCAATTTCTGAGAGATTGTTAAAACTTACAACTGTGACTGTGGATTTTGTTTGGTCAATTTTTGTTTCATACACTTTGAAGTTACAAAGGTGTTTCTCTATTGAATTCATTTTTTAAATTTCATCATTATGAAATGTTTATCTTTCTCTCAGGCAATATCACAGTATCTTAAAATTTACTGTGTGTGACTCATGTAGCCACAGTAGTTTCTTTCTTATGGTTACAGTTGGAGTGATGCATCTTTTCCATCTATTTAGCAACTCATCGGTGTTCTTATATTTAAGATGTCTCTGGTAAATACCATGTAGTTGGGTCATATTTCCTTTAAAATTCAGTCTGACACTGTCTGTCTCTTGATCATTTCACAGATTTACTGGTATAGTTGGGTTTGTCTTCTCTTTTACTCTTTGTTCTGTATCCCATCTGTTCATTATTCTCTTGATGATGTTCCCTTTATTCTTTTGGAAAAATCAATTATTTTTTGTTATGCTATTTTATCTTCTCTTTTGTTTTTTTGTTATATTTTAGCATAATGTTTATAAAAGAAATTACAGGATACACCCTTACATTATAATAATCAACCTTATTAAGGAACATAATAATTTAAGTTAAGGACCATAACGATTTGTATTTTCATTTAGTGACTCCCTCTGACTTTGTGCTATTAACATATATTTTACTTTTACATATCTTACAAACCTCAAAATACATTGTTGTTAGTGTTGTCTAAGCAATTAGTAGTCTTTAATAGTTTTCTAACTAGCCTTTCCTATTTACTCACATATATACCGTTTCTTGTATTCTTCGTTTTGTCATGCAGATTCATGCTTCTAACAAGGGTTATCCTTCTTCATTTTGAAGAAGCTTTCTTTAGTACTTTCTTTAATATTCCTTGGAACATAAGTTTGGTGGTGATTAATTTTCTCCCTTTTTCGTCTTTTTTGGTCTGCAATTGTCTTTCATTTTTGCCTTCTTTTTTAAATGGTCATTTGACTGGGTATAGAATTCTATCTTGACAGGGATTTTTTTCTTCAGCACTTTTCTAGATGTCATTTATTTGTCTTCTGGTTTCTATTGTTTCTATTCAGAATTCAACCATCATTAGTTTTGTTTTCTTTCTGGATATAATATGTCTTTTTCCCCCCGTTGCTTTTTGTTTTGTTTTGTTTTTTGCTCACTCAGAATTTTGACTTTGATGTGTCCATATGTGTCTGTATGTAGTTTTCTTTATATTAATTCTGCTTGTTATTTTCTCAATTTCTTGAAGCTCTGGGTTAATGTATCTTATTTGGTTTTGGAAAATTCTCCTCCGTATTTCTTCAGATATTTCTGCTGCATTATCTTGTATTTGTCTCTTTATGGGACTCTAATTATACATATATTAGATCATTGGACAGCATGCCATATATCTTTGAAATCCTGTTCTGTTTTTCCTTTCCTTATCTTTTTCTGTGCTTCATTTAGGGTAATTTCCACTGATACATCTTTACTCTGCCCAGTCATAAGCCTATCTGGTTGTTTCTTAATTTTTTATTGTATTTTTCAATTCAATATTTGTATTTAAAAAATGATTTTGAATTGTTTTTAAAAATTTTATTTCTTTGTTGAAATTCTGCATCTTCCATTCATTTTGTTTATTTTTCATCAATTTTCTTTATATGTATATTTTCTTTAATATGTGTATAGTAGTTATTTTAAAATCCTCATTTGTTAATTTTAACATGGGTATCATTTATAGACTTGCTTTTTTAAAGTGTTTTTTTTCTTTTTATTATGGGTCACTTTTTCCTGTTATTTTGAATATCTTATAATTTTTAAAAATATTTTTTAATGTTTATTTTTGAAGGTGGGGAGGAGCAGTGAGAGAGGGAGACACAGAATCCAAAGTGGGCTTCAGGCTCACATTAAATATGTAAATGTGTCTTGACATAATGTTGTATGTCAAATTTGTTTCTATTAAAAAAAATAAAATAAAGTTGAACTGGGTCCAGGCTGGGTTGTAGTAGTTTTATTAGCTTCTTCTTTCCAATGCCTCAAGGACGAACTTTACTTAGTGTTTATTACAGGCCTCACTCTCTATCAGTCTCTAAAATCTGTGAGGCAGCAGAGGACTGTCAGTGGCTTTCACATGTCTCCGTCCTCCTACTCCACTACTACTGACTAAAATCGCTGTCAGAGAGACCCAGCTCTGTGAGCTCCTCTAGATGTTGCACTAGCTCACATGACCATTGAAAACTCTTTTGGGTTCTCTTTATCCCAGCGAAATCTCTCTGCCTATTATAGACTTGGTCTCTGCCCATCTGTGTGCAGACTTGACAAATGATCCCAAAGTAGAAAGTGGCTACTCATCTCTGCTTACCTATAAGAACTTTTCCCCCTCTGGTATTTAGTTTCTTTTACACTCCTTTTAATCCACAACTTTCTGGTGTCTTTAAAAAATGTGATTCTTAAAAAAAAAGTGTGTAATTTATCTGTCTTTTTCTAGCTGCTATAATGAAAGTATTATCTGTTATGACCTTCTTTCTCCTAAGCAGAATTAGAACTCTGAGTTTCTTTTTAACTATCTTGTGTTGCTGTCATTGGAACTCATTGTAGGATTATTATTTAATAAAACATTAAGACAAAAGTATTTTGGTATTTTAACTGCTAAACTTTATTGGATTGGGGTGAAGAGCAACTTATTTTTACAAATTTCCATTGTACCCTGAGGTTTCTATATTTTCAAAAACGTTTTTTTAAGAGACGCTGAAATATGTCTTAAATATATAAGTGAAGGTATGATATATTTATAGGTTGAATAAATAACTCAAAGAAGCCATAAATTATACCCCTTTCAGTACAGATATTATTCTCACATTGCTCTGGTTTGCTCAACATCAACTTCAGTATATGTTTTTACTTTTCCCTTTGACTTCAAAATGATTCTGGAAGAGCATATGAGAAGATACTATGCGCATAGAATGAACACTTCTCATAAAGATACTCTTGAGCAATAGTTAAAATAGTTAAATAGTTAAAATTTTGAAAGAGTTTTCATCAATTGTGCCTATTAACCAAATACTAACATTAGATTGTTCTAAATGAAACTATTAGGCCAATCATCAGTTTTCTGTTTGAAGTTGTAATATATTTTTGCGCTAATTAACCCAGAAATAATTGATGAAATTGTGCTTTGGAAAACGAGTGAACTTTTAGAAATTTTAAAATGTTCAATAGGCTAACACTGTATATTGTACATAATATTGTATATAAGAGAAGTATTATACTCTAAGATTTTGCATGACCCTTTATTTCTCCTTTGATCTGAGCAATCTTCGTTAAATAGTTCTAGGACTCCTTGTTGTACACTATTTTATGGAGATTAATGTACTTGGAACAATTCTAGAGTTCATTAATGATCACAATTTTAATTTTTTTTAAGGAGGAAGATATTTTAGATCTTCTGGAACAATGTGAAATTGATGATGAAAAATTGATGGGCAAAACTGTCAAACCTCGAGGACCAAAGGTACAGTGCCTCTACATTCCTGTTAGTTTCCCTCATTTTTTGATTCTTTCCCTAATACTAGTGAAAACCCTATGAGTTAGGGCCAAGAAGGACTTAGAACTAGTACCTTTATTCTGTATTCTGTATTACATTTTTCTCCTATCTCTAGACTTAGAATGATCAGAGTTTTGTAGCATTATGTATAAGGCAAATCATGACTCTGGAGATCCTCATGGGGACCCCACTTATTGTTGACTGGGGAACATTGAAATTGTGTTCATTAAAATAGGTATGATTTCTAGGAATAAATAGAAAGCTGTCATGCAAGCAAAAATGGGCAGGTGTTTGCTTTACCTTCATCTGCTCTTTAGCTACATGCTTTTTTTTTTTTTTTATGTCAAAGTCCTTGCTAGCAGAGTAGGAAAGAATTGAATCTGTAAAATCTTGGAAACATTTTTTATTCTGCTTTTTTTTTAAATTGCTTCTTTGTTGTTTTTTTTCTTTTTAGTTTACATTTCAGCAATATAAAGCTGTCTCTATGTCCTTACACACCTCACCATGCTCTGTCATGTTTTCCTGCTTTTTCCATGACTCTAGAATGCCTTCCCATTTAAAAAAAAATATTCATTCATTACTTGACTGATTAGAGATCCCCTTCTAATCTAGCTGAACCCTTGCTTCCTCTGTGAAATCTTCCCTCACTCCCATGGTTAGACCTCCTCCTCCTCCTTCTTCTGCTGTGCCACAAGTAACACTTTATAGAGCAGCTGTGACAATGTGTACATATTTGCTTTAGTATGAACTTGTAAGTTCTTTGAGGGTAGGAAGCATGTTGTCATCTTTATACCTGTAGCACCTAGCACAGTGTCTGGCACTGTGAAGGTTATCAAAAGCCATTAATTAAATTTGTTGAATGTGTCCATCAAAACCTCATTGGCTGGTGGAAGGAAAAAATAGGTGGACCAAAAACCAGGGTATATTGTGGCAATATAGGGAGTGGTGTAATAAAGGGAGTGGAAAGGGTGCCAATAACATAGGGAAGGAAAGGATTGATAGACTATGGATGGCCTCGTAAAGGAAATGCCATTTGAATTGGGTCTTGAAAAATGAGTAAGGCTTTAATCACTTAAGAGCAGGAGAAGGAGGGGTGCCTGGGTGACTCAGTTGGTTAAGTGTCTGACTTTGGCTCTGGTCTGGTCTCACAGTTCATGAGTTCAAGCCTCAACTTTGGATCTTCTGCCTCTCTCTCTGTCTGCCACTTCCCTGCTTGGGCTCCCTCTTTCTCTCTCTCAAAAATAAAATGAACATTTTAAAAAAAGAGCAGGAGAAGGATGTTCAGGGTAGAAATATTTAAGGAAGTATTTAAGACATAGAGGTGTGAGATTGCATAGAGTATTGCAGAGACAAGAAAGAATTTGGTATGACTCAAACGGAAGGTTCCTGAGTAGTAGAATAGTGTAAGATGAATCTGTTGAAAAATATGTATCTGGTGGAGAGCAGAGACCTTGGATATTAGGCATCATTTTTCTGAAGTATGTGCTTTATACTGAAGAATTGTGGAAGATTTTGATAATGCCTTTGGAACATATGTATTTTAGAGTGAATCATTTTTAAGCTTTGTGTATTAATTACTGCAATTCACCAAACCAATTACAAGACAACTTGGGGGCATAATATTTATGGCAGAATGGTGTATGCAAAGGCCCTGAGACAGCCTTCTGCTGTCATATTTTTCTTTGCCTCATCAAATCAGGCTTATCATTCAAATAAAAATATAAGCTCTTGGAGGGCAGAATTCATATGATGTATTTTTTTAACCCCTCTTATTTCTAAGAGGCAAGTAGTGGAAACTAACTGTATGTGTTGAAATGAAATAAATTGGTTGGTTTCTGCAGTTATTAATGTCAGTAATATGTCAAAGTGGTTGAAAGCTGCATAATCAGTCTGAAGTAAAAGCATTTTTATAACTTTTAACTTTATGTACACTGAGGGTCTGGGCTGAGCCAAATTTCAAAGCAGCCTTTCGTTTTTAATGGGATGATATCACATGCTAAACATTAATTTCCAGTGTGTTTATGGCAGAAGAATAATTGAAGATAGTGGAGATTAAATGAAATGTGTAGTAGGAGAAATAATAATTTTCACTTATTTGAGAAACTAAGAAATAGAAATTAACTATATAAATAATAAAAACCACATAAAGTATTAGCTTTTGGCATTATTCTTTTTTTCAGTTCTTTTTTTTTCAGGGACATAAATATTGCTTTATTAACCTTTCTGCTGTTTATATATTTTTATGCCTGACCCAATTCATAACAAAATTGGACATAAAAATAAGTAGTATGGTTTGTGTCCTAACTTAGTGCCAGTTTACAAATTCCACTTTGTAGTTAAGGCACCATTCAAACTTTATGCTGCTATGACTTCTTATTAATTATTGCTTGAACAGGGTGTTGGTCCAAAAGTCCCAGCTGCATATATGACACAAAGATTCAGCTATCTGCTTCCCCTTGTGATTCTTTATAGGATCGAGTAACTCATTATGTAGTCAAGCTCTTTAAGAAACCTTAAAGCTGTTCGCCTACTTGAAAGAGGACATGACTAGCAAGCCCAGTTGTGCCAGTGTTTCTTCTGGTTCTGTGAGACTTCTGAAGAAACATGTTTCCTGTAGAATTCATATTCCCCAAGACTGTCAAAATGTTTGATGACTGTGTACTAGTCAGTGTTTATATATATATATCTCTTTGAACACTGTCAGTGCTCAGTAAATATTAGACTATCAAAAGAAAAACATACTTTGAAATACAGGTTGGTACCTTAGCGTATTAAATTACTTTCCTGCTTTTGTTATTTTTCATCTCTTGGAAAGGCAGTAACTTTAAGAGGATCATGCTCTGGCTTACTGTGTATTCCAGGCACTTCATGAAATGCTGTTTCTCTCTTTATCTTTCATCCTACACTGATACACAAGAAGATATACCTTGATATTTCAGTGAAATCCCATGGTAACCAAGGATTTCATTATGGTGTATGCTAACATCAAAGCATTTTTGTTTAACAGAGAGCAAGAATCTAGTGTACAACTACAGGAACCTTTCCCAGCAGGAGGAGAGGCATATGGTTTGTATAATAAATAGTCGCCTAAAATGACTAAGTCACAAAAATGTCTCGTTCTTGGTTGTGCACATTCTCTCTGAAGTGAAGCTATCTCACTTTCCTTTTATTCCTTCGGCTGGCCTCACTGGAAGCATATTGATTGGGAGGTTGGGAGACAAGTAATTCTAATGGAGATATTGGAACATAATACCAGGGCATTTTGAATCATTACACATTTTCCCTTCTACATGGCACCTGTCCCCCCAAAATTCATGCCATACTGGTTTTTACATTATATTACTCTTTTTTTGTAGCACGGGCAATGAAAAGCAGTGTTGCTCCATTATGGCCAGACCTGTACGTCATAGTTAGAAATCCTATGAGAAAGGATCGGAGTTGTTCATAACCAATATAGAAAGTAGATAATTAACTAAAATTTTTTATTTGTGAGAATATCCACAGCAAATTAGACATGTGAGGAATACCTTGTTTCTTGCACGTTATCTGAATGGATAGGCCCTGTTTTATGATGTGACCTTACTTGACTTACAGTGATTTATGTTACTTTACTTACAATGGTTTAACCAGCTCCTGCTTCTTACCCTTTTTTACCTCTCTTCCCCTTGTCTCTCTTCTCTTTCCCAGAAACAACACACATTCACACACACAATTATTGGGTGTCTTTGAACATCAGTGGTAAAATAAAAGTACATCTCAGAGTTTTGATGAGTAATAAGTAATCTCTCTGTGTGGAATGAAGGAAAGGGATTATGCAGAAGGATTATGTTTCTGATTTTTATTGTTTCATCTCAAATATTTTATTTTGTTATTCTGTATGGATACTCTGGTCATTTATTCAAATCATGCAGAAATAGCATTCTCCTCATCATAACTAAACTATTATCATTTAAGAGGGAATATTTTGCAGAAACAAAACAATTAGTGAATAGCACGGTAGCAGTCATATTTGGGGGATTATCTGGCTTTTGTGAAAAGCAGCAGGCATAAACAGGAAATTAAAAACAGTAACTAATCATGCTAATAATTTGTTAATAATCCTTTGAACCCTAACAGAATAACGCATTTCCCTCTATTTTAGCCTCTCTCCTCCATGCCTGAGACCTCTGAAGTACTGAGAAGACAGAAATACTATAGCAGTGACAGCAGTTATGACAGTAGCAGTGGCTCTTCGGAATCAGATGAAAATGACAAAGAAGAATACCAAAATAAGAAAAGAGAAAAGCAAGTTACATATAACCTTAAACAGTCCAACCACTACAAGTTAATTCAACAATCCAGTAAGTTAATTTCTTCTAATTTAGTTGTTATATGAAGAATTATGGAACTGAAATTACTGAACTCAATAAAAGACCTTGGGCCAAATGAACCCTTGTCGTGTGTGAGGGGACCTGGATTCTATCCCACTTCCTTCCCTAACCAGACCTGGGCACACCCCACAGTTCCTTTCAGGCTCTGTACATAGAAAACAAAAGGTTTGAGTCAAAGATGTCTTACAGCCCGTTCCTTTATATTTTATAGTTTCTGTGAAGTCCTAGAATTTTGCATGGATTTTATAAAATGACTCGTGGCTGCTGATCTGCTGATCTGACTTGAATCTCTTTTAAGGCAGTATATTCTCTCATTCCACCCCCCATTTTCCTTTCCTCTTGGTCACCCATCTTATTTTCTATTCTCGCCAAAAAAAATGTGTGTGTGTCTCTAGGCATTTGACTTGAACATCAGTTCTGTGAGGCACAGAATTGTGAGATAGCTGAAGTTTTGTTCCCTCCCATTTCCATCAGGGCTAAACACGTATGTGAGGACTTTTGGAATACCGCAAGTATTCAGGAGAGTAACCAACCAGCTGCTGTGCTGTCTTCTTTCTGGCTTCCTCTTTTCTCTTTCTTCTTTTATTTCCTTTCACATTTTCTCTCCTCCATTCTGTCATTCATTCCTTCCTTAATTTCAGAGGTGCCCACAATTCTTCTTTCATCCCCAAATGTCCACTGTGGTATCGTCCTTTTCTCAGGCTCATTGGATACTCTAAGGCAGGGCATTTCTTACCTGCCCTCTCTCCTGTCTCTGCCTTGTTCTCTGTTGTCCCAGGGCTCTGCTAAAGAGGCCTGTTCAATTATGCAGTAAACGCAACTGTGAACCTTTATTAATCTCCAGCAATGGTTTATTTAATATGCCATTTCCCTGGTAATGAGTGGGTTTTAAACCTGGCCTTCTATACTTATGGCAAAATGTCATAAGGAATACAGCACAGGTGAAGATTTTAATTATCATTCTTTTACCAAATTATCATAAAGATTTTTAATGGTCTTTCTTTTCCTTTCCTTTCTTTTACTGAATTATTCCATAAAGATACATGCTGATGTATATCCTGTCTTTGAGAGTTTATGTGTTTAGAGGGAAAATAATGCATTATGTTACATTTCATTTATTTACTCATTTAAGATGTTTATTGAGCACTTGTTCTAGAGTTTGCAACCTATTTTATCAATTAGTTCCTTTTTTTCCCTTAAAGATACCTTAAGAACTTTCAGTATATCTCTGTGTAAGTATGGCTCTGTTTCTCTTTTGGAAGCTGACATTTCCTGCCTAGATTTCATCAGTTTTTAAAGCCCTCTTCAGTCATTTAAGGTGTGCATTCCTAAGAGCATGAGCTGACAGAGGGTAGGGTAGAGAATATGTTGCTAGGATTTCTATAGGTCTGAGATTTTTCTTCGTTCTCAGACCAATAGGTTAATAAATCGAGATCAGAAAAATAGTGCATTAAAAATGTTTTTAAATGTGAATTCACATTTTAAACCTAGCTTAGTTCAGTTACATATCTTTTTCCTTATTAGTTATATTTTATTTTTATAGTCATTAAGCATTACCTCAAAGGTTTCAATTTGTTTTATATTCCTCTTTAATATACACAAAGGGGTACCATAGCCACAAACCCTCCTTGAGTTTTCTCTCCAAAGTGATGCTAATAATGGAGGACAAAATCCGGATTATGTGTAACATTTTCTGATGTAGACAGTTAACTTAGGAAATTCAAACTTGCTATAGTTTCAGAGATATATTTTAGGTTGATATAAGGTGTTAATAAGTGAAAAACTATATGAAATATTTTCTCATGTAATTTGTGTATGCAAGTTATAACCATTTTTTTTAATCTAAATATTGTTGGCATGTTTAGTGATTTAATTACTTGTCTGAATTTCCAGTGTATGCAGGGGAAAAATGGGAATCTGTGGTGATTCAAGAGAAAAGATATTTTCCTTCTGCACCTGTGATCAGGTTATACATATCCAAACTATCACCTTAAGCCCTCAAAGAGAGCAGGACCAAGGTGTAGGTAGTAGCACATGCTTTTGTGTATTTTCCTCGTAGAAGGTTGACTGGTAGTATGTTTCCCACACAGCCCATTTCTAGAAGCACAGTCCTTTCCAAAAAAAAAAAAAAAAAAAAAAGATATGACTTTCTGGTTCAGAAGAAAGTTAATAATTAGAAAAAAATGGAAGTTGTTTCTTTAAACACCTTTTATAATAAGCTTTAATGAGTATACTTTTTTGTACCCTCCAGAACCAAATGGGTATTAGGCTTATCATCTACTCAAAATATCCTTTAGAGCTACATCCCTAAATATAAGGTTTACATCCATTGCCTTTATAAAGGTTTAAATTTTTTTCAACAGCTAATGAAGAGAAATATTTGGGTATTCAACCTGCCTTCATGTGAGTTTTATTAAATTATTTAATTAATGAAGACTGATAGAACTTCAGAGAGAGCATATACAACAGAGGTTATAAAGAATATATGAACTAAAAAGGATATAAATGTCTACTATTGAGTGATATTCTATTTCCCTGTGTGAGGAATCCAAATTCACCTGGAACAGTTGGTTCTTTCATAAATGGTCTCAATATGCACTGGGGAAGATATTCTTTGGTTTTCCCTTGCTTGTTCTGATAACAATCCTCTAGATCCAGACATTTATTCCCTGACTTAAATCTTTACTATGGGAATGTAAATCTAATTTTTTTTCTGTCCTGTGAATAAGAAGACTATCTGTCTAGTACTACTCTTGTAATAACCAATTATATACTTAAACTCTGTTAGGATAATCTTTATATTTTTCTTCTGTTTTATTTATTTTTTCATGGTTTCTGAAATCTATAACATTCATTCATCCTGAACACTCTCTAGACTCCTTTCCATCTCTCCCTATGAATCTTACTATAAAGTATTCTATTTTTTAACCTATACACAGATTCTAATAAACTATCAGTCTAAACCAAAGATAGTAGATGGCATCATGCTTTAGAAAGAGTGAGAACACTGACATTGTGTAGGTCAGGACTTAAACCTGAGCTTTGCCACTTCCTCATCATGTGACCTTAAGAAAGTTCTTCCTTTGAGTCTCCAGGGGATGGAGATTCTTACCACAGAGGGTTTCTGTGAGGATTAAGATAAAAGTGTAGCACCTAGCAAGATGCCTGGCTTATCGAAGATGCTCCATAAATGTTAGTTTTCCTTTCTTCTGGTTCTTTTATGTCACGTTTCAAGAACAGAACTGTTTAAAAATTGTTCTCATGGTAGCCATATTCATACATGACAGGGATTCTGCACCAAATTTACTGTTTAAATTGAAGAATTAACTTCAAACTCATATTCTCATGATGATGTCTGTGCTTTTTACATTTATGGCCATCCTGCTACCATGTGGTCTACTTGTTAGTTTAAATAAACCCAATAAAGTGGGAAACTTCTAACTCTGCAACTGTACTATCCCTCTTCTCCATCATAATAGGTTCTATTAGGCGTTCAGTCAGTTGCCCTCGGTCCATCTCTTCTCAATCACCTTCCAGTGCAGACAACCGGCCGTTTTCTGCTCAACAAATGATACCAGCGTCCCGGTCAACTTCAGGGTCTCGGTCACATTCCTTAAATCGTGCTTCCTCCTACATGAGGCATCTGCCCCATGCTAATGATGCCAGCACTACTAACTCTCAAATGGTAAGTCATCTATTTCACTCTTCCAAGATTATAGGAGGCACTACACTCATGATGTAAGTGGTAAAGGGATCAGCGGGGAGGAGGACAGATTGAACTTCAAGTTCTTTCTGTAATTCAATTCATGGTCTTCTGGAATTTGGGTTATTCATCTAATTTAGCCTATGACTTAGTATGAGTTCTTCAAAAGCAGACTCTGCTATATCATAGAACTTGAGGATGGTCACTGAGAGTAGCATTTTACATTCCATTTGCTGATGGTATAAGATAATTTTGTTGAAAATCATCTGAGTAAATGTAACACTTTGCTGTGTATTATGCAGTATATCGGTAAATTTGGGGGGATTTGTTGGATGGTAAAATCTTCCTTAATGGGATGATTGAACAATAGGTTAAAAAAATCAAACCATTGATAACTTATTCTTAGGCTACTGAAGTATGACATAGTTTATAATGTTTCCTGCATGTTAAGTTAACATACAGCATATTCCCTCAGTGTGAATCCCAGAGATTCAGTGTTGAGGAAGCAGTGAATTTATTTTGCAACCAAGCTTAGTTGTAGGTGCTCAAATAGATATCTCAATGCACCTACACATTGGCCAGGGATTTGTTTAATTTGTTTTAATGTGGATGAAATTCCCAAAGAGAAGAGTATAGAAAATATAAAAGATGAATTTCACTTGGTAACTCTCAATAATTATTTTTTCTAATCAAGGATTGCCTAAGGTATATGTAACAAATGGAACTACCAGAAAGTCTTTTTTAAACACATATTTTTATTTTAGTATTTTGTGCTAAATAAACTACAACTGTGTGGAAGTGTGAAAAACATTTTTGAGAAATCATATCCATTTAATCCTAAGAATAAATGTAAAAAAAATTATTTTCTTTTTCATTGTTATTTTTTTCCAATTAAAAGTGCATCATTTTTACCTAGAAATATCTTTCAGATTATAGTGGCACAATGAAATAAGACCCCCTCCAAATATCTGTATTCTTTCAAATTTAAGAGTGAGTCTTTGCGGCAACAGAGAACAAAGGAACAAGAAGACCATCTAACAAGTCAGACCTTATTTGTCCTCAAGGACATGAAGATCCGGTTTCCAGGAAAATCAGATGCAGAATCATTACTTCTGATAGAAGATGTGAGTATATAATGTATGAAATTCCAAGGAGGTTGTACCTTTTTATTATTCTTAAAATATTACAATTTATTTCCCGATAGCATCATTCTCAATGTCATGGTAAACTTAATGTTCTTTTCAACCTCTACAAGCTTTAGAAAATACAGGGGTTATTTTAATTTTTATGATTCATGAGCAGTGAGATCACATTATCAGTAAAGCAGAATATCTTTTGGTGTATAGTCCTATTTTAATGATGCAATTGCCTCATAAGTAAGAATCATTAGTGTTGAATGATTACTGTTCATAATGATGAAAAAAATATCAAGCTAAGCATCCTTCTGTAAAGATTTAGGAGGATCTAACATGGAATGAATTGTAATGAAAAAAAGTGCCCTCGGTATAAAGTTTCAAGAATATTTGTGACCCCTTGAATGGTTTTGGTCACATTTTAAAATGGCATATGTCGGGTGTTTTGCTTGTTATAAACACATTTGCACCACCCAGTGGAACATTCTAAAATGACACAGTCCTAAAATTCACATTAAAGTCAATGACTGACTGACTTCCATTTTAGAAAGAAGCTCCAAATTATTTCTGGTGAAAGAGCATTTCTTCAGTCAAAGATTGATTTCATTTAAACATCTATTTCAAATGACCTTCTTAGAGAATCCCCCAGTAACAGAAGGTTGTTTTCTACTTTCCCTGTTCTGTTTCGTTTTGGTTTTGGCTTTGGTGGGTTTTTGGGTTTTGGGTTTTTTTTGTTGCTGTTGTTGCTGCTGTTGCTGTTCCAGAGGAGAAGACACCATCTAGTGGCCAACTGTAGGATAAAAACCACAACAACACACTTGGCTTTTTTCACATTTTAGCATTCCTTTAGACCTATGTAAAGCAACCCTCTAGAAACAAACAAACACAATAATAATAAAAATTTAACTTCCTTAGCTAAAAAAAAATTAATAGTGGCCATTTCTACTTTGTAATCATAACATAGTTATAAGCAACCCCCCCTCAAATATTATGCATGGTATTGTTATATATATTTGAAAAAGTAAAAATGATATCTTGCTTACAAATGATTTTTGCTACATTAAGGAAAAAGGAGGAAAAGTGAACATTAATTATAAAGCATTATGTAGATGTGTTTTTATTTACATATCATCCTTTTCAATCAAGTTCTGGGTAAAAATAAAGTTTTTGTACCTAAATTTTGCTTAGAGATATTAGCTATATACCACCCTTTTGGATTAGGTTGAACAAAAATTAGATAATCAGAGTAGAACTAATACTTGTGGCTGATGTGGAACACCTAGGTGGCTCAGTGGTTTAAGCATCCATGCTTGATTTTAGCTCAGGTCACGATCTTGCAGCTGTGAGATCGAGCCCTGCATCCAGCTCCATGCTAGGAATGGAGCCTGTTTAAGATTCTCTCGTACCCTTTCACTCTGACCTTCCCCTGTGCACATGCACTCTCTATCCAAGAAAAAAAAAAGTATACATAGGCTTATATAATTAATAAAATGTAATGAGTAATTATATAAGACATTAGATTGTTTACTATATGTTCACCATACACAGCAAATATTTTAATTTGTTTGCTACAGTATATATTACTAGAATATATATTTAGAAATTTTGCAGATTTGTAGCAATAAAAACCCCAAAAAATAAAACAAAGGGATAATAGAATCCTAGTAATATATAGGCTACCCTCTAATGTATTGTTCAATATTCTGTTATTATGGGTACTATGTAAATAGAGCTCTTGAAATTAAAATGGAAAATCTGTGTTTTGACTTCTTCCTAAATCTTATGTACCTGAAGACATTTGACTTTCATTTATTAGAGACTATGTGCTTTTTGAAGCAAAAAGAGAAAACTTTGGATTCAGATGACATGTTTTTATGAAAGTAGACATTCTTTGTTGCAAGTAATATTACAGTGCTTCCATTTCATAAATTAATAATATTGGTTTCAACTCATTTATTTACTTTTTGTTACTTTTGAGGAAAATTTTACATTAAATTTCTTAATCATTCTCCCCCAAAACAGATCATTGATAACTGGAGGTATCATAAAACAAAAGTGGCTTCATATTGGCTCATAAAATTGGACTCTGTAAAACAACGAAAAGTGAGTAATTCCAAAAATAGTTTTGCCCTTTTGAGATTACGTATTAAGATCATTCATCTGTATTCATAATCAAGCTATATACATTTTCATTTATTTACTTGTTTCTTCCACAAATATTTATTGAACACCTACTGTGTTTCAGGCACTGTTCTAGGTTCTGAGGATTAAAAAAATGAATTTTAAACAAGCCCCGTGGTCTCATAGAGCTTATATTTTGGTTCTGGTATTTGATACTAAACAATATGTAATAGAGTGTAGGGTAATTTAAGTACTATGAAGAAAAATAAATCAGCGTGAAAAATAGAAAGAAGGTAACATCGGAGCAGAGACCTTAATGCAATGCTACTATGCAGATAACTGCAGCTACAGTATAGAGCAGATACATTGGGCCTGAGGTGGAAGTTTTAGCTTGAGGTGTCCATGGAGCATAGAAGGACCATTTTATTCCCTTATTTATAGGATCATTTGCTTGTGTTGGTCAAGAATGAGTGAAGGGGTGGTGAATGCTGAAGTTGGATACACGGGCAAGGGTCAGATCACAACTTCATGGGCTGTCTAAAGACTTTGGATTTTATTCTAAGTAAGGGGAAGCCGCTGAAAATGGTGAGCAGAAAAGGTATATAATCCATGCACTTTTTGTAATCCAGAAGATGAAAACTGTAGGTAAATTGCTAATTAAAATGAAATAATCCAGAAGCAGATTAAGGTATTGATAAGATATGTATAAATAAATGCTTATTTATAAATACTTATAAAATGTTTATATAATATATTTATAATATCTGATATAAATGTAACATTTTAAAGACTTGGAGAAAAGATAATTTTCCCCAGAAATGATACTGAAGCAATTGGCTATGTATTTGTAAGAATATTAAGTCAGAGCCTTATCTCTCACAAAAAAGTTGCAGATAGACTACAGTTTATGCATAAAAAGAGGAAAATATTAAAAGTTTAAAAGAAAAAGCGTGCCTGGGTGGCTCAGTCGGTTAAGTCCGACTTCGGCTCAGGTCATGATCTCACAGTTTGTGAGTTCCAGCCCCATGTTGGGCTCTGTGCTGACAGCTCGGAGCCTGCTTTGGATTCTGAGTCTCCCTCTCTTTCTGCCCCTCCCCTGCTCCTGCTCTGTCTCTCTCCCCAAAATAAAATAAAAACATTAAAAAAAGGTTTAAAAGAAAAGGATATGTTTATAACCTTAGATTGGGGGAACCACTTCTTAAGAAAGACCTCAAACCCAGAAATCTTAAAGAAAATATTGACAGATTTGATTACATGAAAATTTAAACCAAATTAAAAGGCAGAAGCTATGAGGGGTGTGGGAGGAGGGATGTTGAGGAAGACAGATATTTGCAACACATAAAACACAAAGTAACACTAATAAACCAACACTTTTCTACAAATCAACCAGCGAAAGGCAAACTATCCTATAAATATTAATAAATAAAATGGCAAAGTACATAAAAAGGCCATGAAAAGACAATTTATGGATCTTCAAATAGCCAATTAACATGTAAATAGATCACTGGTCTCACTAATGATGAAGGAAAAGCAAGTAAAAGCCATCATATTAGCAAAAATTAATCAGACAGATAATATCCAGTGATGGAAATAGTCTGGATAAAAGGTCCTTTGCCGTACCATTAGAGGGAGGATACATTGGTACACTCGATAGACAGGTCATTTGCAGTATCTATTAAAATTACAAATGTAAATAACCTTATGATGCAGCAAAACCACTCACAGCATTCTATCCTACAAAATCATTGTCTGCGTATATGAAAGATTTACATACATGAGTATTCATTGCAGTGGTGTGTGTGAAAGCAAAACATTTGAAGCAGCCTAAATATCTTATCAGTAGATTTATGGTTAAATACAGTGCATCTATACTATTCAATTTCGTTAAATGAATACTATTCTGAAATTATAGATCTTAACCTGAGAGATAGCACCAGATTATGACTAGTAACATATGAAACAAACATACATTAGTAAAATCAGCCAAACATAACTAATCATGAGTGAAAGATACAATCAGTAAGCTGTCACTGGGAGACCAAGAGTCCATCTGCTGTCAGACATCCCTTTTCACCCGTCCAGAGGCATTCTGGCTTCAGAGTGATAAGTGCCAACTGTGTGTGGTTCACCTGTGACAGAGGGAGACTTCCTAATGTGGGTGGCCTTTATTTTACCTCTCCCTTAGTAACTCATGTGTTCTTTGTGACTAACTTCCATTCTCCAGTCAGCTGAAATAAAAAGGTTGATTTACTATGAATATTGTCTGATAGAACTTTCTACAAAGATGGTAATATATGTTTATTTGTGATGTCCGATAGAGTGGTCACTAGACACGTATGGCCATTGAGTGAGCACTTGAAATGTGGCTATCATGACTGAGGAACTGAACTTGTAATTTGAATTTTAATAGCCAAATGTGTCTAGTAGCTACTGTAGTTGACAAGGTGGATGTAGACAGATCAGGGGTAGCCTTCTAAAAATATGTTCTTAGATAAGAACTTTCTCATTTATCTTCCTCCTGAGAAATTCCATTAAAGAGTTTGCAAGAGTGTCCAGTAAGGTCATCATTGCCTTGGGCATCTTGAAGAAGGAGCACTTCTGTCAACTTTTTCCCTTCTATATACCATCCAGAAAGGATATCAGGATAGGAAATTAAACAAACTAGTCATGTCATACAATAATATGTATTGTCCCATTTTAAATGACTTATGTGTATTTACTATTTTTTTAATCTTTTAAAAAATTTTATTTCTGAGAGAGAGAGACAGTGTGAGCAGGGGAGGGTCAGAGAGAGGGAGATACAGAATCTGAAACAGGCTCCAGGCTCTGAGCTGGCTGTTAGCACAGAGCCCGATGCGGGGCTCAAACCCACAAACCATGAGATCATGACCTGAGCTGAAGTCGGATGCTTAACTGACAGAGCCACCCAGGTGCCCGTGTATATACTATTTTAGAAATATGCATCTAGCATAAAAGATTTTTAACAACTAGGTACCAAACTGTTAAGATGATATGTTTCTAGAGGGTAGACTTCCTGAGCCAGAGGAAGGAAAAAGGTGACATTTGATATCATTCTTTTTTTTTTTTTGTATATTTCTATATTTTTTTAAGTTAAAATAATCTTTTCAAAAATGGTAGAATGACAGGGAGACACAGGCATTCCTGTGAAACCTGTCTGGATTCCCCTATAATCACATGTTATGTTTCCCTATTCTAAACCTTCACGGCACTTTGTGTTCAGTTGTACTTACCATCTGCCTTGAGAGATTTTTCTATTAATTTTTTTTCCACCTCACTAAAAGCCAGGCACTTGTCTTACTTTGTAGTCACCTATAGGAAGCGTTCTGTAAACATTTATTAAGTTGATTCAATTCTAGACTCTTTCATGAATTCTGTCAATGGCAAGCTAACGCCATGATTACTGCGTTTCATTTTCTTCCCTCAACCTTTTGTTCTTTAAGACTGTTTTTCCAAAGCAAACTCTAATTTCTCAGCTATATCATGAGAGGTGGGGCTCCTAGGAAAAGACACAGAAGGCAACTCTCAGCAGCATTTGTCACGTGACAACATTCTCCCCTTTACTGCCAGGGCCACTGAGGAGCTCTCACCCATGATTACTTATTGGGATAATAAGGAAATGAATTTTTATAAAACTTTTCCTTTTTGTAAAATTAACCCTGCCAAATTTATGGGTTCTTTCACCCATGCCCATGAAAAGAAGCATTACAAATATATACGCCATGGATGCAAATCATCAGACCAGCCTAAAGGGGAAGTCTTGAGGCCTAAGAGACATGAACACAGAGTTTTTAACTGGGATTTTTTAAAAATGTTTTGTTCATTTAATCAGTAGCATTAGAATGAATGAAGTTAAATACTTAAAACTTAGCCCAGATAGGATAGGTATAGAGATATAAAATAATCATTTGGACAAACTTAAATATGTTTGTCTCATCTATTTGTGTATATGTATATGTGTATATGTGCGTGTGTGTATATATATATATATATATATGTATGTGTCTATATTATAATATATATAAATACTTTTTCTCTACCTCTTCCCAATCTTGTCTATTTCAAATGAAATCAGAGGTAAAGTGAGATCAGAGAATGACGGACTGAAATATTTTTCTCTTGCAACAAGAGAGCCAATATAATGAGTTGAAAAATACATTGAAACAAAATTTTACAGCTTTATATTTTGATAAGGGGCAATATTAGATAGTGGGAAAAGGTACTGGACTTGTAGTCATGTGGATTTGAGGTAGGTGCTGCCTCTGTCCTTTACTTGGGGCAGGTAACTTTTCAGAATTTCTGAGATTTTTAATCTTATGTGTCGGAGGGTTCTTGTGAAGAAGCGACACATCATATGGAAGGGTGCTCTGCCTTAGGAGGTATGAAATGCAGGCTGATTTTGTTTTCCTACTGAGGCTCCTCATACCATGCTGTTTCTCCAATGTGTTTTATTTAACAGTGGTCCCCCCTGATTCGTGGTGGATTCCAAGTCCCGTAGTGGATGCCTGAACATGGGGATGGTACTGCATCCTGTAGATATTCTGTTTTTTCTCATACATATATACATACCTCTGGTAAAGTTGAGTTTATAAATAAGGCACAGTAGGGGATTAACAACAATAACTAATAATGAAATAGAATAATTATAACAATATATTGTAATAAAAGTTATGTAAGTATGGTTCCTCTCTCTCTCAAAATATATCATACTGTACTCACCCTTCTTCTTGTGATGATGTGAGATGATGAAGTGCCAACATGATGAGACAAAGTAAGGTGAATGAAGTAGGTATTGTGACACAGCATTAGGCTACTGTTGATCTGAGAATATGTCAGAAGGAGGCTCATCCACTTCCGGACAGTAGTTACCTTGGGTAACTGAAACTGTGGGAAGCAGAACTACAGATAAGGTGAGACTACTAAGAGTTCTTCAGATGTAGGATTATTTTATGTAGAATATGTGA